ACTTTTAACAAAAGTACAGCTGATTGACAAACTAATGTATGTAGCAACAACACTCATAACATGACTGAAGGATCTGTCTTCTGTCTGTCTGTGTCTTTCTTAATTAACCCTTCACTAAGCCCCGCCCCCCTTAGTTACTGTTGCTAAGTTCGACAAACTGTCAGCGCTGCCACTGTCTATTACTGCACTCCCCGGAGAAATATTGTCAAATTTGTTGGAAAAAGCGATCTCATAAAGAAGCAGACACTTGCAGTTGCATTATACATTTGAAGGTTGTATTCAGGCTGTCAAACTGACTCAAATTGACTCAAACGGACGTGAACCACCACATCCCCCTACAATTCATACAAAAGACAACGACATTAAGGATCAGTGTTCCTGTAAAGCTGGGTAGGCCTCTATTCATTATTACAATCATTAAAAAGCAGAACAGCAGGGCTTTATTACGTTACATTCAGTATGAAGTTAGCTAGCGTTAGCTAACTAACATTACATTAGGAACAATCCACAGCCGACATTTTTCTGGATTTGTTTTAGGTTTTTGGAAAGAGAATAAAACATACTTCTCCTATCAACCTCTCTGGGTAGCGACTGTAATTATTATAAGTGCCCCAGAAACAGTGTTTGACCATATCTTGGAAATATACAGCGAAAAAAAGCTAGAAAACGACTCCTTTTGCATTAGAGTTAATGGAGCGCAGCCATAAAAGTGTCGGACCTCCGTTAGAGCGAGTCCTATACTGCGCTGTGATTGGTCAGCTTTGTATTTGGGGCGTGGCTTAGCGAAGAGTCAATTGTCATTTATTGGTTGTTATAAACACTGATACAGATTTATCAGCAATTATCAGCCAAAAGTATCGACACACCGGTTTTAGTGTATGCAGATTGTACTGTATTTAATAGACGAAAAAATAATTAGAAAGGAAAAGACACAATTGAAACTACTTATCCAACTACTACTCATGATATTGCAATAAAAATAATTCCAGTAGATATCTACCGTAGTGGTAATATAGATATAACTAAATATCGAGATAGCTCTGTTAAGTAACATGTTTCAAATAAAATATATTGTCATTTTATGCAATGTTTATTTATCTTTAAACATAAGTCTTTGATGAAAGTCATTCATACCCTCCATCCTTCAGCAACTAAAAAAAAAGTAAAATACTAAGTAGGGCTGCACGATTAATCTAAGCTCAATCGTGATGTCCTTACATGAGATTACATTTACATTTATTCATTTAGCTGAGGCTTTGATCCAAAGCGACTTACAATTGCTATACATGTCAGAGGTCGCACGCCTCTGGAGCAACGAGGGGTTAAGTGTCTTTCTCAGGGGCACAATGGTGGATTGAACCTGGGTCTCTCGCACCAAAGGCATAGTCTTATCCATTTTGCCATCACCACCACATAACCATGTAACTTGCCACGGGATCACTGAGATAAATGCCGGTGCTCCGGTCGCTCTCTGACAGAGACAGAGAGACGTCATTCAGCTGAAGTGGTAAGAAAACTGGGTGAGGATAAGGAAGGTTTGGGTTTAGCTAGCTGACCATTTACCGTCAGCTGTATTGGTGCCTTTTGTTGTTCAACATGTTTTTCATAAAACCTTACTTTTTGACAACCGACCAATCACAGCCTGGATGGGGCGGGACATAAAGAGCCTAAGTCACTCACTTCCACTTCCGGCTTCTGGCATGGGACCTTATTTTGGAAAAATTATGTACGGTAGTCAATGGCGAGGGACAACTTATCTTTTTATCCCGTTAGAATTGAACCCTGAATTACACATATGATGTTGCTCAATTTAAAATAAAATTTTACAAGTCAAGAAAGTCACATTTTGTTGTAAAACAGTAAAGTTACATGTTGTTTTGTGTGAAACCGCTCAATGAACTACATCTCTCGTCTCGCACAATATGTCACCAACATGTTAGTGCGTTAAAGCTAGCTAACGTTCATTGCTTTCTTGCTACTAGCTAGATAATGTAGCTATGTTCCACGCAGAAATGTATCTCACCTGATGTGTTTAATCCAACGACTCACGTCATCCTCTCATGTAAGTTTTTTGATGTTAGCTTCAGTAACGTTAGCTACAGTCATTGACAGAGAAAGTTATGACGTCACATATGCGACTTTTGGGTTTGTGGTCTTTGTAATTACGCATTTTCACAGTCTTATATCTCAACAGTTTTACATCAAACTACGACCTTCTTTAATTTAAAATTTATCTTTTAAATCGACAAAGATCATATGTGTAATTCAGGGCACAATTCAAACGGGATCAAAATATTTGTTGTCTCCTGCCTTTGACAGTACAGTACAGTATTTTTCCGAAATAAGGTCCCATGGTGGTCCACCGGAAGGGGAGGGACTTAGGCTCTCTATCAAAAAAAGGTTTAATGCGCTACAGCAAACTTTCAAATGTTGAACAATGAGATTATTACGTAGCATTAACAAATTAGAGACCAATATAGATAATTTTTTCATGCACGAGCATTTAATAAATAAAAACAACTACTGGTAAAATAGTAAACTATTAAATGGAACTATAATGAATATAGTAATTAATATATTATTGTTATAGGCTACTAACAGTATACTTTTAACTGAACATTATGCTCTATATTCAATGTTATAATATTATACTAATACACTAATTTATACTAGCTCCTACTCCAGGTTTTAGATAGTGGCTCTGCAGTGGACAGATGTAGATTTAGATCCATGATGCCATTGTGCCAATATGTGCTCCTTCTAGCCGGATCCTCCGTAGAGCAACACGCTCCCCTTGTTCTGTTTTACATCTGTTTTACAAGTTATTGTTATAAATATTGTTTATCGTTTAACTTTGTTCAAGTCAAGAGATACACATTTGAAAATGTCAATATTTTGTGCATTTTCCTTGATAATCAAGCAAGTCGACTCATTCGACTCATCACACTCGTTTTGACTGACATGTGGTTGAGAGGCAGGAAATTCCATCACATTTGCTGTTTTCTTACTTTCACTCAAAATATTGAATGGATCAGTAGAGATAAATGTCTCTTCAGAAGTTGCATGGTTGGAGTGCTTTTATTGTCGCCATGTCTGTGGCATGGCAAAGCGTGTTGTGTGGAATTAGCACTATGGCCTGGCTTATGGCTGCAGATGGAACGACATGGTAGCAATTGAGAGACTACAGGATTACACATGTAAGCAGATCAGCTTCAGTTCTAAGGTGATTAGATTGAGAATATCAAAACAGGAATTATGACTGAACAAAATCTGTATTGAATCACTGACAATGATATTGACGTGTGTGTGCATTGAATGGGGTTGGTTCAGGTTAAATGGGGGTGGGGTAGTTAGAAAACACAGCTTATGTATGTTGTGGGTGGAAGACATGCCAATTGTCTTACATGATCATCCCTGATAATCTATGAGGTCACTGAGCTAAAGAGGATATTGAAAAATGGTTTTATAAAATGCAGCATGCCTGGGACATCACTGCCTGTCTTTAAAAAGAATCATACTCGATTGAAATGTAAAAGCCCAAGATGAAAAACATCCTTTGCAGTTTAGCTAGTTCAGGTGGGTTAGTCATTAGATATTAGGACATATTAAATAATTGACTGTCTATACTCTACGTATTTAATTTGTGCATAAAATTGAGGTCTGCTTATAAATGGAGGCATTTGGAATACAGAATCAGACAAAAAGCTCTGACTCTGACTTTCTCTCCAACTCCAACTTCAAGGAACTCATGGCCTTAAAGAAAGACAAGAATGCTGTTATTGCTGCAGACAATGAAATGTCAGAACTGTCACTACCTTTGTGACTAAGGGTTTGCCCAGGGACAGATGCATAGATTTTTAAAACTACAAACATTAAGGCTTTTATAAACGGCTTGTCAGTGTGTGTTTTGCATATAAATGCACAAGTATGCTCTGTTGAAGTGTGTGCACTCCCAGCACCAGGGGTAAAAGCATTTCGTCTTTATTCCTTCCTTAAGTCTTCTTCCTGCTCACTTATGTGACAAGCACGCCATTGCTACCTGACTTCCATTGTCTTATTTTCTGTACCGGTACAAATCTAAAATTGTGCACTCTAAGACGTGTGCAACCAGCATCCAAAGGCAAAGCCAGGTAAAGGTTTGCACACATGCATTATTGAGAGGTATCTTGGTAACTTGTTTGATTGGCCAGTCTCCTGCTATTATGTACACTTGGCTGGTCCTTCAAAGGAAAAATGAGTTCTGCTGCCAAGTAGTTAAACAGTAAAAGTTCTGATCCACGCTACATCCATGATTATTGACTTAAGGAATTTATAGGAAGATCTCTAACATAACACACATGTTCCAGAAAAGATTATTCTATAAATACTGGAATATTGAAAGATCATGATCTCTATAATGACACAATCATTTAGGTAATTAATTACTAGAGACATGCCCTGTGATTTTTCCCCATATCGCCATGCACGTTCATGAAGACAATCAGTGTCTTTCACAGTCTCAGCTAAGCCAAGCTATAACAGTATGTGTCACCCCAAAAAATTATTTTAAATAGTTACGTATGTTAATACAGCTAGATTTAGGTACCAGTGCAGTGTATTCATTTGTGGATGGTTGCCCAGTGCTTAGGAAGCACTGAGTAATGCTCACTCACAGTGCAGTGTGGTTGCAGTGGCAGTTCATCATCACTACTTAATAAACAAGAGAGTGCAAGAAAGTACTACAACTGTTTGAAAGTTACTAGACTGAATTATCAAAACAGATGCACAATTGCTAACATTTGCTCACTGATAACTAAATAATTTGGTTACTAAATACAGCTGACCTGTCAGTATGTAGCCACATTTTCTGTTAGTGACATGACTTTCAGTAATAGTTACAGCAGTCATGTCGGTGCCACGGGAGCTGACATACAAACTACCTGTACGTGGTCCTTTTGAAATGTTTTTAACATGTCCTCATTTATTTTTTTCCCCAAACTTCCTATCCCGTGACTCCTCAGCCCCCCCCACGTTCACAGATACACCACCTCAGTATGTAGAGGCCAAGGAGGGGGGTAGCATCACTTTGACCTGCACAGCCTTCGGCAACCCCAAACCCTCTGTCAGATGGCTGCGGGAAGGCAGCCTCATGGTCAGCAGTGCCAAGTATAAGGTATATAACTTTATAATCTCTTTATGTCACATGTGATTATTGATCGTATTACTCCTCTGGTATCTTCGACTTACTTTGTGTTCAGACTGACTTTACTGTGTGTAAAAATGCAGCATTCATTTTAATGAGTCTATTACATGGGCAAAGCAGGTGTACCAGTGCACTTCATTTACTTTATCATCATTGAGATATAGTTGTGAAATCCTGCCTCATACTATTATAAACCTTTCACCTGACACCTTCACTTTGGACTTCTGGATGATATCATCATGTTCACTGCTGATGTGAACTTACTTTAGATATAAGGGTTGGGTTTATGCCATAATGTGACTTAAACTGGTAAGCTTTTACACTACATCTAGTGAAAACGTGCATGGCTTAGTTTGCTTAAATGGTCACTTGAAAGTGTTGAATTGTATCAGCTTTATCTCTTGGGCACTCTCAAGTTTTCTGTGCTCAACCAGCAGAATAAAAGCAGAATAAAAGCACTTTCAGACATACCCATGAGTAAGAGCTTAGCATTTGAAATATGCTATAAATATATATATATTTATGTTGAATGTTTTGGCCATATGACAATATGGAGATCAGGGACATTGAGGATCTTCCAAGTGCCCCAAACAGATAGGACCTGAGTCGCATGACCTCCTCTCCACCATGGAGACAATAAAAGAGGACAAACTGCACAAACAGAGAAAGAGAGCAATAAGGACATCGGCCGACTAAACAACATCCAGCCAAGAGAGAGCAGGCAGCTACCTTTTCACCGCAAAACCCTTTTTACTCCCCTCCAGCTCTCTCTGTAGCTCAGACAATCCCTGCTACCTGCGTGTGCTGATCCATTCTTTCACCCATATTTTTCTCTTTACAATAACAAACAACAGCTGTTTCGTGTGTAGTTTCGCGTCATTTCCCGTTTCAACTTTCATGTGTGTTTTCTTGACAAAACGTGGTTTGGAGACCAGCGTCAGGTGACAGAGCCGCTGTCAGCTGGTGTAGTGTGTGACCCCTTGTCACCGATCAGTCACGTAGTGTGAACACCACAACGACTTCAAGACTCCCGTCACAGGACAGCAAGTTGTGTAGTGTGAACAGCACGGCCATCGGCCGACACTGAAAGTCGTGTAGTCTGCACGAGCCTTCACACGGAGGAAGAGAGAGACAAGAGGAAAGAATGAATTTCCTGGAGAATGTGTGTATTAGTGAGTGATCCTTTACTTTGAGTGGATCTTATTGTAAGTGGAGGAAGGTCATCTCAATCACTTTTACTTCTTATACACATACAATGACAGATTAGTTAGTTTTAGAGTTTGCGTTAAATAAGAAAAGAAGCTTTGTGTTAATAGTGTATGCTATATAGTAGCTACAATTGAGTCCTGCATGTAGGAATGGAAATGACTCCCCCACATTATATCAATTATTTAAATGACTGAACTTTTTTCATAAGAGAGTTATGTATCTAAATTTGTCCCAGTTGCAGGCAGCAGCTTTTCCCGAGTCACTAGACTATAGTGTATTTTTCTTCAGTCTTTTTAATGTACAACCTGAATGTGTTCTTTGGCAGTTTTGTCTTCAGCTTGTGTTTATTTGATATGACATGCTTATCATAAAAATATGGTGTTGTTTTTTTCAAAGCTAGTAACTACATTACCGGCAAGAAACATTCAGAGAAAGCCTTTTTCTCTGAATGTTTTTAAAGTATTCGTTCACATTTGTTCAAGTCTTAAAATAATAATCAGGGGCCCATATTAACTAGGGGTGGGGGGAAAAATCGATACACCATAGTGTCGTGATATTTTCCGTGGCAATTTTGGGGACACAATTTGAAGTTGGAAAACAGGTAATAAATTGCAGTATATCGCAATATGTTTAAAATCGCAATGATATTGTATCGTGACATAAGTATCGTGATAATATCGTATCGTGGGTCCTCTGGTGATTCCCACCCCTAATATTAACACTGAAACAGGTTTTGCTTGTTCTTTTGTTCATACTGGACTAAATGTCTTACTAATGTGCTTCCAGTGTAACTGATGGGGGACAAAATCCACAATCTGCATTCTGTACTAAATGTATTCCAAAGTTCACAACAAGAACTATTTTAGAGTATTTTTATCCATATCATCTATTGGAGGCATGTTAGTAAGGGCATGTGAGTATTGTTTTAAGATAGAGAAAATAAACTTCTTTAATGTGAAAATGATGACATTAACAAATAAGATAGATATGGAAATAGGGAAATTATTCATTATTTTGCTGTTTTATTTCCTTATCTGATGAAATGTATGAAATTAATTGTCCTTATGTTCTTTATATGTAGCTACATTCATGCCAATAAAGCTAATTTGAATTTGAATTTGAGAGAAATTACTTCACATTCAACATTACTCACTGTCCTATCTTAAGTTGTTGACTTTCTCTCTCTCTTTAAACTCTCCTTAAAGAAGCAGGGGACTTGCCCAATCAGAGTGTCAAATCCGCCCAATTGTCATTACAGTAGCCAAATTAAACCCGACTTGCTCTCAGCCCCTAAAAGTCTTGGTCTTGTCTCAGTCTCGATAAACTCTGGTCTTGGTCTTGACTTGGTCTCGGTTTGGGCGGTCTTGACTACAACACTAGTGTGTACATACATGTAGCGACTGGAACATTTTCGGTTGGAAGACCAACGTTTATGGCCCTTTGTCACTGAAGGTCCACATTAAAAGTAGACTTGAAATAGCTTATGTTAGTTATTAGAAAATGTTTATGTGTGTATGTTCAGGTGTCTGATGGGAGTCTGACGGTGCTATCCATCACCCGGGAGGACCGTGGGGCCTACACGTGTCGAGCCTTCAGTCCCCAGGGAGAGGCCATTCACACCACAAGGCTGCTAGTACAAGGTAGGAACATCTGTATGTGTTGCTGTGTCCCTAAACGTGTTTTCGCATGTTCTTTTGACAACATTATCTCATTATTTGATAAACAGCTTTGAAAACATTTGACAAAATTTTTGCATGCAACGTTTTCTATAATATCCATCAACTGACACTGACACTATTTTCTTTTTTTGTTCTTATGTCCATACTTTTGACATTTCTCTTGTGCTGACAGTACTTTTCAATGTTCAGAAATTGAGCAACTTGATGAAAAATCCTGAAGAATTACTCTTTAGAGGTTAATTTTCTGCCTTATGTTGGCAGGCATCTGTCAGCTCTAGAGAACGTGACACATTCCGCATTCCAGAAGCCACTAGCAGTAACAACTCAAACCCATGCTACACAAAGCATGCATGAACAGTATTCAGGCAGAACATATGTCAGAAATACTTATTAAGTATTTTTAGCAGCTGCTCATAAAAAGAGCCTCTGCACAGCTATTTGTGATTTTATTTTGCTCTTAAAAACTATCAGTGTAACAAAATGTTATATATTCCTTCCAAACCATCAATCTGCACTTCTATCAGCTGTCACCAAATACCACACTGAAGCTAAACACTTTTCAAAACTGAACCTAATTTATGAGAGCCTGGTACACTATTCACAGCCTTATTTAAATCCAGGGTCTGACCAGATAAACAGATGCTAATATCTATGTATGCCCTCTGAGCTAACAGGGGGGTTTCCTTCTTGGGTTATTGAACAATTTTATGCATTACTTTTCCAGTGGGTGCAATTTCTTGCACATCAACTTTCTACCCCTGGCATCGAAGAATGTCGCTTGGAAACGTCTCTAGTGTGTACACTATTTTTACCCTTTTCTAACATGGTGCAGTGCAATATGATAAATGCATTGTTGTGGGTATGTGAATGGAATGCAGTATCAGCAGGTGGAGTTTGGAAAGGTCTCAGTAACGGCCAATCACATCAGCTCTTCTCATCACCTTTAAAATGCAGCAGACAGTTTAATGAGCCCTGAGGAGAGTCCAAGGTGGCTTCGCTGAGGAAAACCGTTTTGGTGGTGCAGAGTTGCATGACAAACACACACGCATGCAAAATATAATTTCAGGGCAGCTGATGTCTATTAATGAGTTCATGTTACTTAATGATGTTAAGCAAACATACCAGACAATGATTTGCATTTAGGCTATTACAGTTGTAGAAATAAACCTATTTCCGTTATTACTGTCTGTTGTTTGTAAAATTTCAAGTAATCCTGAGGGAACCCTTTTATGTCTGTACCAAACATGGCAATCCTTTCAATTCATCTAAAGTTATTGAGATATTCACTCAAAGTTACAATATCAATGATGATTCCATCCATCGTCAACCGCTTATCCTGCGTACAGGGTCGCGGGGGCTGGAGCCAATCCCAGCTCACATCGGGTGAAAGTCAGGGTACACCCTGGACCAGTCCATCTAGACATAGACAAACAACTACTCACACTCACATCCAGACCTAAGGACAATTTTGGAGACCTAGCATGTCTTTGGATGGTGGGAGGAAGCCGGAGCACCCGGAGAGAACCCACGCAGACATGGGGAGAACATGCAAACTCCACACAGAAAGGCCGGGGCAACCGGGGTTTGAACCCACGCTTGCTGTGAGGCAACAGTGCTAACCACTGCACCACCTCCTCATGATGAGTCCTAATTCAAAAAACAGTAGGAAACATCCTCTGGGGACCATGAATGTCTGTGGAAAAATTTACACCAACTGAGAGAGATAAGAAAAGTTTAGTCTCATCTTGACCGGAGCATCTGCAGATTAATTCCAATCCTGAGATGTAATGAACTAAAATTAAGCACGATACAAGATGAATAAATCCCGTTTCTGTTATCTTCACTGCCGTCTTGATTGTTAGGGAGGCGGGAGGGACTATTCGTTGTTTGGGAGGGGAGAGGGAGGTAGGGAGGGCTTTGATTTTGTCTGTTACAATAAAATGTTTTAAATAAATAAAAAAAGTAAAAAAGAAAAGAAAAAAGTTCTAAATAAATAACAAAATGTTTTAAATAAATAACAAAATGTTCTAATTAAATAACTGTTTGTTTATATTTAAAAGGTTGGACTTATATTTGTTGAAATTCTCTTCACATCCCGACAGCAATCAATAAATCAAATGCTCTGCCACAAAAATGAAAAAAACCTTTATCTGTGTTTGTTGCAAGAATGTAAAAAGGTTGGCAAAACATTTAATTTGCACACTCTGCCCGTGCACTCACTGCACATGAACATGTGTTTTGGGGGAGTGACTTCGGAAGGAGGCCTGAAAGGAGGGGGTGGGATTTTTTCGGTTGGGTACCTTCAAAATCGATGTCTCTGGCTAGTTTCTCCAATGTTACCTACTGTATATTTACCGTTTATACAGTTAGGTCAGCTGTGTTTGACTATTCTATGCATCTTCAGAAAACCGAGACTACACAAAAAAAACTTTCTCCCCCTCATTCCACTACTTAGCATACACAGCTGGACACACAACCTGCCCTGCACTCCCTGTTCTCCACACACCTGCCCCCAGACCCACCAGGCAGAGATCCGCATTCTACTGAGTGCACTCTACTAGTTTAAAATGTGCTAAAGCTAAGTATGTCTTCTCCTTGCTGGTGTAAAACAGTCACAACTTTTGTGATATCAGCTAGCTGATCCCTCAAGCGTGCTATCACAGGCGTGTGAACACAACAGGCAGAGTACAATTTAAATAGTGTATGATGCAGTAGTGTCTTTAGCAGTGGGACTAGACTATGCTGAAATTAGATGGGGATGACTAACTGCTGCAAGGAACATTTAAGACTAGATGGGGCTTGACAATTGTATTCATACATTTGAGCAATTTATTATTTATAGAGGGAGAAAAAAGAATCAGGATGGGAGAGCCTTTTGCCTCCAGCTCTAAATGAAATGTCAGCTTCTGTAACTAAAACCATGTGTGTGTATCAGTCCACGCTCCGCTACGAAATCAAGACGCATTTAGCAACTGAGTCATTTATTGTCAACGACGTGCCGCATCATGCACACATCAGTGCTCAAAGTCACTAATTGTTTTTCCCAGCAATTGTAAGTAAACACAGTATCAAATGTGCCTGTGCAGCAACCTTAGATTTGACACGCCTCACCAAAGAGGATAAATGATAAAGCAGCAAACATGGCATTCCAGGTCATCTAATTTAAAGATTGCTGCCCCAGATAAGCACAGATGAGTGGTCATGACCTCGTCTGGACTGGGGAAATTGAATCTCGATCTCTAACTGAAATATTTTCACTGAGTTTGGATTTCCTTGTGGAAATTCAACAAAGTAGCAAACCCATGCTCACTTCATAATAAATGCCAGATGTGTGTCTGGAATAAGATACAAGAAAAAGGACTAAGCTAGACTGGACTAAGTGACTTGAAACTAGCTGACCATAAAATGCACTGACGAACCAGAGAATTACACTGAATGACTACAATATATGATCAAATTGAAGTCCCTCTCTAGTCAAAATGTGTTGTACTGATTGTTCTTTGACTGTGATGTTTGAGCTTCACTGTGCAGAATGGTGTTAGTGCAGAGTTTGACACTAAAAAGCTGTTTTCACATTCATCTGCTGAAGGGGGAAAGTTCCTCTGTGGTCATCTTAAATCTCAGTTTAACACCTGATGTACCAGCAGGATGTGTGACATGAAACTAGTTTAGAGGCTGATCAGGGTTCAGTATGCAACTTACACAAGTGTGATTTGGAGATTGAAGCCTCCGGAGTGCACACAGTGGGAATGGACTTTTCAGTGAAATAAGAGACTCGCGAGTGTCCAGCAGTTAACTTAATTTAATAAATATAAATAAATTAAATTAAATTCTGGATTTTATATGAGGGAGGAGGAGCAGATCTATATTCTTTAAAACATGTCTGGAGGTGATCTCCATTTCTTTTTTTAGCCATTTAGCTTGCAGTTAGACTCGGTCCACCAGTTGTTCCACCGCTTTGATCCAGATTTAAATCTCTGAAACTATTGGTGGATTGGCATGAACTTTTGTACAGACATTTCTGTTCCCCAGACGATGAATCCTACTGACATTTCATCTACTGTCACCAGCAGTTCAAAGATTCAAAGAACAGTTATCCTGTGAAATAGCTAAACATCTACCGAATGGATGGGCACCAAATTTTGCAGAGACATTCATTGCCCTAGAGGTTGTATTTGATGACAGTGGTGATCCTCTGACTTTTACCCTAGCACCACCATGAGGTTGACATTTATGGTATTGAGTGAAATGTCTTGACAGCCGCTGGATGGATTGCCTGTGCCTTTCAGAATCACTTGTAACCAACTTTTCTAATTGTAATTGACTTTTGAAAAAATATGCCCAATACTTTGGTTTACTTCTGGGAGTCGGTTAGATGACATTAAACATTTAAATACCATTGATTTAACACTCTGCCAAATAATCCTCGAGTGACTGGATCTGCTTTTTAATCAAGAACAATAACCAAATCACTACATATTAATGGAATACAGGATGGCGTATCATGCAAATGGTTTATAAGTGATCTCTGCACAGTGGCAGTAATGACAGTTACCTTACTTAACGTAGCTATAGCTGGCTGGATTGATGATCACTGAAGATAATCAGTGCTGTGGCTTTTTTTTATTATTTTGATTCAGTGGAAGGCACTGTAAACCTCCTCTAAAATATGTCTACACATGTTGCAAGTCACTTTGCATATGGGAAATTATAAGGCAAAAATATACACCAGCTTATTAGCTGGGTGTAAATTTTTCACCTGACCCTCTTCCCTTGTGCATTAAAATGTTTTTGTCAGCTTGCTTTTATAAAACCACTGCTTAATAACATAAGTTTCTGTGGTTTATATGTTGGTTGACAGTTGCTGTCATTCATCAGAGAACAGACAGTGGACACGTTCACAGAGATCACATATTTCCTTTTGCCACTGAGTACAACGCCAGGGCTGAGCCAGAGCGGTTGTTTGACCCGTCCTGTATAATTTACGGGAGAGACGGATTAATAGAGGTCCTCCTGGAAAGCCACTGAGCTGCAGATCAGCTAAGAGACTACTGTGCCAACAAATCTCCAGCACTCAGCTTGTTCCAAATAGGGCGGGTTGGCACACGCACGCACACCCCCACACCCCCACAGACACACATGCACACACACACACACACACACACACGCACACACATGCACACAGACACACACACTGGCTCAGACAGCAACAACACAGTCACCCAGCACAGGCCTAGTCCTGGTTGTCCTGCTAAGGGGCTGGCAGATGGAAATGCTTTGCCTGTTAAAGGATCAGGCCGTGGGCTACAGATCAGAACTAACATATGGGGCTAGCAGTTTATAGTTGCAACACTGGCTCAACTCAGCTGTATGTGTGTTTGTGTGTGTGTGTGTGTGAACACGTATGTGTGTGGGTGCGTGTGTGGGTGCGTGTATGTGTGCCTACGTATATACTTGTCTGGACCAAAAGTTATAAACAAATAAGAAGACATATTAGGATAAATGTGTGTGTGTGTGTGTGTGTGTACAGCCATCATCAGGAGAAACCATTCAATGGTTATTGTGAACTAGCCTCGTATGAATGCTGCCTCACTGCTGGATGTTGACACAGTCTGCTTGTACTTATATTTGACAACCTGGGCAGTATTCCCTTATTGGTACTGAGGGGTTTCAGATGCCAAAGAGAAGGGCTAAGCTACTGACAAGTAGTAGCAGGGGAATAATGTTTTATTAGATGCACCATGATTCTCTCTTGAAAGATTATCTCTCAAGGCAAAAAAGTGATACCAGCACACTACAGTGCCACAGTAATATGCTATAGAGTGTATGTCCGCTACAGAGTGCCTTCACTTGTGCATTTTAGTCAGTTGGGAAGCTATAGATCAGGAATTATCAACAGGTCAGAGTCTTATGATGGAGCATCACTGAAATCTTTTTCTTATTCTTATCAAATATGCTGGTATTTCAGTGCTTTAACTTTTACATTAAGAATTATGGCCATGTTAAATGTTTAAATTTGTTATTAAATGTTTATTATTTTTGAATTTTAACTTTGCACCGTTACAAATAAACTATGTTTTAAAAGTAGCAGGTGGTCACACAGTGAGAAAAAATAAATCTTGTATAGATTGGATCATTGGATATATAAAATATTCATACAAAATTTACAATATTCTTTCATCAGACAAGTATTGTTGGAATTTTAAATGTTGGCCTGAAATGCCTTACAGTACTGTAATATTACCACTGTCCTCATTAGGGTAGAATTGCATCCATTGAAAAAGAATAAGGGCCCAGGGAGAGTACTGCCACAAACAATGTGTTGAGCATAAACATCTTTGTGCGTGCTCTTAGTGCCATCTGCGGAGGCCCACACCGTGGAGGCCCACACTGCGGTGTCTCGTGGGAGTATAGACAAAGTTTGACTCCTCAGAGCAAAAGCATTTGAGTCTCTTCATTGTTTTGTTTAACCCCCAGTTGCCTCTTTGTACTGGTCCAGTCAGTTGAAGAGCTCAGAGAATGAGTTGGTCAATTAATACTTACAGCAGAGTCATACTAAGATTAGCTTGAGCCATCTTCCTGGTTCCTGATCTCTTGGCTTTACTTACAGCATATCTGTCAAAATTCTGTGTTGTTATCGGACTTACAAGCCTATGCCAATTTTGCTGTCACGTAAAAAATGTTACATTTAGTTTGAAAAAATTAAATCCACACATTAGAAAGTCTTTGTCTTGTCATGCTTGTGATGGCTGCAGAACTGCACACATTCTCTGTGTGGTCTTCACACAATGAACCAGTTTTATTAAGCAGTACTTATGTGTAGTATATCCTATTTTGGGTGGAATAGCCACATAAACACACTAAAGTGTTGAGTGGTGCTCTCATATAAATCCAACCACCTAGTGTGTGGTAAGTAGTTAAAAGAAGATTAAGGTAGAATAGTTTTTAGCATCCAGACAAAGCTCAGCTATGGTTATGGATAGTTACAGTCACTGCTAGGAAATGACTACAAATCAAGTATCATGGTATAAATATGGTCATGTGTGCAAGGAGGATGATCCATCTGGCACAGCAAGGATCACTCAGTAAATTCTCATAATCCTTTACTGAGTGCAAAAAAAGTATGTGATATGGCTCTGGGGTCTGCCTTAAAGAATTCTAAGCGGATCCATCAGTTTTAATCCCTGTGTGTCCACACAGAATGTGTTCATGGCCATAAATACCACACATGACCCTTGCCCAGTACTAACTCCTGGAAGTTCCCACTGATGGCGGTAATGTTTTTAGAATGTCCTTGTGAATGTCACTGACCAATGTTCCATGTGGACAGTCATTGAGATTTCAGGGTAGTATAGGTTCACACAGATTAGTTTAATGCTCTGGACAGTAAAATTTATATGAATATGTCTTGTGTTTTTACATAGCCTAGTTTAACAACATACTGCCCAAGGTGGACAGACAAACCTTTATACCTGTCAAGTTTTCATTGTCAATAAAAAAGTCAAAGTCAAGTTCAAGTCTCAAGGTACAGAGTCTGAGTCATGTGTCAACAGGTGCAGTTCTAGACCAGTTTTATTGAGGGGGCCAGATTGGGGCCAGTTGTTTTGTCAGAAGGGCACATTCAATCCGGGACAAAAGAGACAAAGGCAATGTAATGTTTTAGTATGTTTCATTAACAGGATCTTTTCAGTAACTTAGTTAAAGTTTTATTAAAATACATTATTAAAAAAAAAACATTCCTGTTAACTTTAGCTCAAGTTACAGTCCATTCTTTGATGCAACACTTCTTTGTAAGGCTTAATGAACAGTAGAAGCTCTAGTGGACTAGACATTCTCTGGATCCCAGTTTGTTTTTTGTATCCCATTATAACTTTTGCTAGGAAGCAACAAACATCTCCATATTCACCCCTGTTTAGTTGATTAGTCCTGATGTGAAGTATACACAAAAGTAAACACTTCATGTTAGGCCATCATCTGTGCATTATGGACAGGGATACATATTTTGGCAGACTGCATGTCCAGCCTGGTAGGACCAGTAGGCTACTGTTATTGCTATTTGTGTATGAAAAGTTCTGTTTAAATGCAATGCATTATTAAATTGTTATGATAATAATTTACCCTTTAAGGAGGGGGAAAATTCCCAGCAATTGTAAAACTATATGCTTGTTTTGTTTAGACATTCTTAATTCAGTGCAATGAAAAACACATAGTTTAATAACACGTAACGTTAACGTTAGCCTATAAAAGCGTTCTTATCATCTGTGTGCTAGCTTGCTCTGCAAAAACCTTGTTGATAAAACAAATGTAAAGCAATAGATGAAACAATCCACATGTTATATTTTTCATTTACTTTCATGAAGTCGAAAGTCCACCATCACCGTTGAATGCATGCGCACTTCCGCAGCAGGGGAACACTTTCTATCGGGGATAACTACCTTGCCATGACACCAGACAGTGGCGGTGTAACGTCCTAAAGGATCCGACTAGTTGAGACACATTTATTCCGCCTTTCACATCAGCACCATATCGTCACAAGGAAGATATATTACTGTCATTATTGTAGACTTTTCTTTCGGGGGGGGGGGGCACAGGGGGGTCCAAGGTCTGTGTTACAGGGGCACTGGCCCCTGTTGGCTCCCCCCCAAAACCACCACAGTGTGTCAAGTCTCCAGTACGTATTGCTTATACACTAAGGGTTTTTCTATTTCCATCCATTCTAAGGGTGACCCCTTAGAAAATCTTCTGTTCCCTGTTTGCATTGCAATCAAAAGAAGGTTAAAGTCGAGGGCAATAGGACTTGGTTGAATATATTAAAGTATCTTCTATTAGTATCTTCAACCAAGTCCAGTTGCCCTTGACTTTAACCTTCTTCGGATAACTATGACCTGGATGACTGAGAACCTTCACAGACAAACATTTCCATTGCAAATCTTCTTATTTTGTAACCAGAAAAAGGAAAACATTGAATAGAATATACATTTTCCCTTAATATGGCTGTTGTAGTTTTCAAAAGGTCAAAGGTTTGAATGAATTTAAACTAACATCCATTGCAGCAAAAATGGATTTCCTGCTATGCAAAATATTATATATTTTTTATTTGTTGAGAATTCTTCTAAATCCCTTTTTGACAAAACTACATTTGGCATCATGCATTTCTAAAAGTGTCTTACTCAGTATATGTTTTTGTATGTGTTCTTCTCCACAAGGCCCTCCATTCATCGTATCACCACCAGAGAACATTACAGTGAACATCTCGCAGGACGCCTTCTTCACCTGCCAGGCGGAGGCCTACCCTCGAAACCTGACCTACACCTGGTTCTGGGAGGAGGACAACGTCTTCTTCAAGAAGTAAAGTTATGATCGGGTTCATTATTGTCCATCATATCACCTCACCCTTCTGAACCTACTGTTCACCAGCCACTGTCAGGGTCCATGTGGTTCTTAAGGTGGATGTTCACTAGAGAGGAATGATATCATTTTAAATTACTAAAAATCTGCTAGGCTAAAATGCCTTTGCAATGATTACCAGGCAAAAAGTGTCAGAGTGTCAGTGACAGAAATATGCCCTTTGATGTACCAATTATTTAGCTGGCTAAATATGTATTTAAGCAATCCTTTGAAATGTAAAAATGGCTTTAAAACCCTCAAAACTCCTTTAACATGACAATGATTCATTCATTGTGAAAAACAATAATCTGCGTATTATTTAAATAATTTCTAGCAGTTGTGCACACAGACAAATCTATGATATAAAAGCAACTTAAAAACGGACAGCAATGGCAATACATGTTGACAGAACAACCCAACTGAGGCAATAGGAGACTGCATCAGTACGTTTTACTAATTTAAGATTAGAGATTGGCCCGTCCATTTCTGTCTTTGAATTGCTGAGGCATGTAAAATGTGTTTTATTGTGGAGGGATAACACACAAATCTATAGAGTAGTTCTAAAAGAAATACATAAGTCCCAGTACTTAGATAAGATTGTCCAGCTTCAGCAATGTGAGGTATTTTGATTTGACCAGGCCTTCTCTGGTTAATTCTGTAATTCCTTAAATCAGGGTTTGTAGTGACTGGTTCATGTTTCTCCGTTATGGTCATGTAGCGTAAGACAACATACAGTAAATCCCACTTTCAGGCTTTCTCGTCTGAAAGTAAATGTTTGTGGTTTCATGTCTTAATGGATGCAGTCACTTTTATTCAAAAGGCGTGACGGCAATCTGGGTCGAACAGAGGTCAAACCATTTCTGTAAAACTTTAAACATGGCCAAAATCTGAATGAAATGTCATCAGATGAATGTAAAAGCTGCAGCACAAGGTTATATAAGTAATTAAATCATCAAGTCTGGTTGGCCAATTAAGATCACTGTTACATTTAAAACTTAATTATATCTCTTTTGCTCAAAAATAATAAAATCAGTTAACCTCCATAAATGTTTTTTAGAGGGGTTAAAAAAAGCTTTAAAAAACTTGTACAACACACAGTGATAATCAGACCAGCACCCCCTCCTCCAAATTTCTGTTCATATTGCATGGATGAATAAATGATAATTCAGCAAATCATGCTTTACATACAGCATGTGAATCCCAACTTCTTGCCTTGTCATTTTATGCTTGTGCTCTGTCAGCAGAATCCTCTAAAAAGACGATGAAAGTGATGGAGAACATATATTAGGAAAAGAATACTAGAAAGAAGGGAGAGAGTGTTTTTTTAAATCCATCAGTGATGCAGCCAGAAACAGAAAACACTCCTTCATATCATAAAACTTTTTATTGCTCATTGTCATTGCTGTTTTCTAGCTATGAAAACACTTCCTCTGCCATAACAGATGCCAAATAGTGATATTGGTAAAAGTCACCTAGACCTGCATGACAAGAAGCCATAACTTTAACAGCTTGATGAAGCCAGCACAGTAGCATGATATTTCATGTACAGAAAGGGCTTCAGATAGGAGTGTGTATATACAGTATGCAGTGTGTGTTTGTTTCTGTACAAGCGTCTACATACCATTTTTTTTAGAATCTTTTTCGAAAAGCCTGCCATGTAAAGAAGAGATTAAGCTGACATGATGCTGAGCCAGTTCAGTATGATGAGTTTTTAGACAGACAGACATCTCCTGAAGATCCATGTTATTAACTTTAAAGTATCACTTTCTTACTTTGAGAGCGCACACACAGGAGGTGAGGATCAGTGTGGGCTTCAATGCAAGTACATTCAAATGAATACACACACACTCCACTCCAGCACACCATGCTTTACTCACCAACTGTTCTTGGCTGTCCTGCCTTCGATCAGGTGGGTAAAGCATGGTGAAAGCATGAGAGGAGAAGGTGCAATGTGTTTTAATTTTAATTAACTTTAAGTAAACAACTTTATAATTGAAACGCATCACTGTTTTTGTACGATGAACCTCCAGAAATGTCAGTCAGCAGGCGCATTTTCCTAGGTTGCCACAAGCATGACATTTCCACTGTTGGTGCTTGGAAGCGGTTAGGACAGAGGCAATGCACTTGTCCATTCTGCTTACCCATAAAGTGCCCCACAGGAACCAAAGCTTGGAGTGAAGTTAGGTCATGCGATGCACATTCACAGTGCATTCTGAAGGAGACAGTAGACAGGGATGAACCCAGCTCTCATGCATATGTGCATTATAGCTGGACAAAGGGGGAGCTTTTCTCTTATTACTGGCCTTGCCAGCTAAAATATTATTTTTGATAAAAATATCAAAGTGCCTTTTGCAAGTAGGATGTCTATCCCTTGAAAATTGTAAATAAGGACATGAAGGCAAAATTGACAGTGACTTGGTATATTCTTAAACGTTTAAACTAACACCCTAACATGAAAATATGTTCAACAAAATCTGTTTTATTGAATATTTTGTTGTTTTAGTATGTGTTCCATCTTTTAGTAGTCTCACTTTTGTTAAACAAAGAGATTACCTAAGGATATGGCAAAACAGATAAACTCTCCCTGCCAGTCCTTCAAAAGTATATTTGTGGCGTTCAGTATACACGACCGCTTAAAATGAAGGACTGGGTTTTTTAATTAACCAAAAGGATATATATATCTGTAGCAGACAATTAGATATCTGAAAGTTCCATCTCTAAGTTTGATCTGACAGCCGGAGAAGAAACAATGCCTGGAAGTGATGGAAGTCCAGTTATTAATCTGCTCCTTTTAAATCCTTTATCAAATGTTTTAAGGTAGTTTGTTTGGTGGGGAAGGAAGCCATCTCCTAGTTAGAAAAAGAACAGTTTTTATTTCACTTAGCATCATACCTAAACCACGTTCATTAAGGGATTCGTTGGATGCGGAGTTTAACAAACCAGGTATTTTACCAACTTGGAACCAGATCCAAAATGGAACCTGCTATCCCCACATTGGGGTGACCAGGCAGAAGTCTGTTGGTGAAACTTTCACTGAGATCCTCATCTTGTTGTCAAGGTCCAGGCCCTCCAAAGAAACACTACAGTAGCCTCTGTTTTGCTCATGATAATTTACACAAGGGATTAAAGGCTCACTGATTAGAGCAGATAATCACAGTCAATACAGTTGTCAAAAGCAGAAAAACTGTTACCAATAATAGATTAAAATAAACCAAAAAGCAATGGGAGGATGTAATAAACAAGAAGGAAAATATCACAAGTGCCACCATAAGTAAAGCTAAGGATGAATTAGATGACGAAATGCAGTCCACTAACACCACAAAACAAGCGGCTCCCAGCACAACACAGACTCCGACATAAACTCCACGTAAGGATACAAACAACAATAAAGACCAAACGAGATTCAGATGATGTTGAGTGAAAACAGTCAACATCAGAAATGGAGAGAGTCATGTTAGTTTGGCAGCTATTGCTATTGCAGCTATTGCTTCCCTGTTACAAGAGAAAAGGTCTGTGCTGCAACAATCCTAAAACTTAACTTAATCCAACAGAAAAGAAACAAGTTTACATGTCACATGTTGAGTCGAGATCCCAAAACAGGCAGAAAGATCCAACATAAACTGGCAGAGAACACACAGACAGGCAATCAAGCAGGGAGGACAGTTATGCACAGGTGAGACACATCAGGTAACCAACAGGGCAGAACACACACACATGAGACAGGGTGATAAACAGGTAGACTCAGACAACTTTAAAACAAGACAGGAACACAGACTGAAACCAGCAACAAGAACACAGAGCAGACAAGGCCAAAATAATACAAACGCAGATAGACTCAAATCAGCATCCTGACAGAATGTTTCTGTCTTTTAAAAAACAGAAATCCATATTGTTTAAAATCTTTTTTTTTCAGAATCCTCTTGTTAGTTTGGTTGAAAAGCCACAATCATGTCCAGTTTGCAAAGGATCTCTGCTTAGATTAACTTGCTTTTAATGTCCTTAAATTCTATGTCCAGAAAGCAGGAATTTTGTTTTGCAAAAATTATCCTGTGAAAGTGTATATTGTCTTGCGTGACCTTGAAGGTAGCTTTCCAAAGTCTGGAAAAATAACCATGATAATGTCATTAGGGTTTCCTCGGTTTAAACTTGGAGATTACATTACAAACTGCGAGGGTCTAACAAAAGGATACTATTTAATGCATTATGGGAAATCCTGCAATCCTGTGCTTCCCTGCACTAAACAGTGAGTAAAAAGGCAATTCCATTAGGTCATTGTAAAATCAGCTAAAACAGATCAAAAACAAAATCCCTTAACAGCCACACTCTAACCCTATTTAAATGGATATTTCTGACAGGATTTTGCACTTGAAGCTAGTTTCAAAAACATGACGGGGACTTAGTGTAGTTTTCCAGAGGTCTACACATACATACTCCATATCTCCATAATAGTAGAGCACCTTTTGGAAGAGAAAAATAGGATTTTTGAAGTATGAATGGGCTGCTGAAAAATCTGCAGGCACTGTGCGTGATGCTAAGTCAAGCATGAACCAAGATCTCTGTGATCCCCTTCTTCTGTTCCAACACAAAGCCTAAAAGCTGGATGGTTTATAGTGGTTTAAAAAGTCTTGGCATCTGGCAAAGTTATAATTGGTATTGGTATCAATAAATCCATCAACCTCATACTGATATATTCTAATGATTTTGTGTTATAGGGCAGTAACTAATAAGCAGGAGGGAATACATTTTCCAGCTGCATTTGAAGCCTGTAGACTTACAGTTCCTCTGCAACCAGCCATTCTGCTGTGAATCATAAATCAAGCTGCATGCAGAACATCATTCATGTGAAAGTCAAAGCTACACATCCACTGGGATATGAGCAAAAAAGGGCAAGAAAATGTGGCACTGGCCAAACATACTGCCGTCATCTTCATAGAAGTCTTGCATCATGTAGTATACATGTACATCTATCCATAGATATTCTCTCATCAGGCTATGACTTGTGCTTCTGGTGACTGAACATATATGTTGAAATAATACAAGTTTTCAATACTAAGAAAGAGTTTTTATACAAAACCAAAGCTTCAGCGTGGGAGATAGCTGTTACAATGTGTTTAGTACATATGAATCTTATTTTTAAAAAAGTCTTGAAGACAGATTACACGATGTCAGATAAAACACACTGATCTATATTCCAACATTAGCGTTTCCCTTCTCTTAATTTTCACAGTGACCTAAAGCGCAGAGTCAGTATTCTTATTGACGGTTCCCTCATCATTGCCCAAGTCAAGCCGGAGGATGCTGGGAAATACACCTGTGCTCCTAGCAACAGCCTGGGCCGACCACCGACTGCCTCTGCCTACCTAACAGTGCAATGTGAGTGTTCTGCAAGTTTTTACACTTTGACTTTTAATTTGTTATTTGTGCTAAACTTTAGAGTCTGTCCTGGTACATTGTAAGGGTTCCTCTTTATGTCCGATTGTTTGGGTCAAAGCCAAGGCCACCTCAGCTCTGGAATACTAATACCTAACCTAACCATGGCTGAGGTACAAAGGAAAGAAACATGGCAGAGCAAGCAACTGTATGCAATGTAATATATCATAAAATATGACTTAGCTTTATATTTTTAGGATAATAATGATGCAAAAGTTTGTTTTCCTTTATGTACAAACGGTGTAAATTGTGTTTCAGGTGTACTGTATACCAGTCACCCCCTATTGTGTGGTATTGATACTGTTTAAAGGCAAATATCTAATCCTACAGCCTTTACAACACATTATAATGTGATCTATTACTGGTGATATACAGTGAGTGCTACTAAAGCATTCAGCCTGTTCAATCCACACCTGACTCTGACTCCGACTCTCTTTTAAAATGCATACTTCATGAGAAGAAAACAGCCTAGTTTTTTATTTATCGATTCATTCATTTTAGGCCTACAGTGAAACCAGGAATCTCATAGCCACTCTGGGAGCTTTGATCAATCATTACAGATACCGTACACAACAACACAACATATTTGCATGATTTAAACAGCTGAATGTGGAACAAACACTTCAATAAGCACACCAGAGGAAGCTCTGAGCATGACTGTGAGATGGCCGAGTGACAGACATCAAAAACGCTTTCAGTGTGGTCTTGGCCTTTAGACTGAGGATGAAGAAGAACTTTTAGAAGAAAGATTGGTCTCTTGATCATCACTTTAAGTATAATTGTTTTCACTGCCCCATAACAAAATTAGCATGATTTCCTGCAGCCTGCCTCTCATATCTGGCCACTGAACTTGCCATCAAATGTAGAATAATTAGACTTTAAAATAAACTCAGACCGCTCCAATAAGAACTCTGTTGCAACATCACAAGGCTTCTGTTGAAGAAAGTAGGATGTACAGTAGCATTTAAGACATGCTAATATGGTCTTTTGGTATATTCTACATTAAATATGACTGTCTTGACAAATTATAGTAGTAGCTCAACAGTATGATGTTTGACATGACTAATCCTTATCTCATCTCAGAGATGGGACCCCAGTTCTAACCAAAAGGCTTATCCACAGTTGGAAGTTTCTGGTCTGTAGCAGGACCGTCTACTCTGACACTGCTGTAGAGCTGCATGTCTGGAAACCGTCTGATTTGGTTGGAAAATGCACTTGATGCGTCCTCTGCATTGTGGAATCGATTTGGACTCTCTAGCACTCCACCAGTCTCCAGGCTAACTCTGTTCCACCTCTCAGCCAAACACCTAATCCCACCCAAACACCCATATGCTTGCTCATATACGCTGAGAGTCGGCTACATTTTGCATATGTTTGCTTTCTGCCTCTCTCTCCCTCCTGCCTCCTCTCTCTCCCATGCCTCTCCCTTCTCTCTCGTGTCTCATTTGTACTCATTTATGTATATATATTCATATGCACACCAACACATCTCTATCTCTTCCTCCCTCTGTCTTCATCATGAGTTGCCGCCTCCTTTTTCTCTCCTCCCGTAAAACACTCACACAGTCCAGCAGTCACTCCGAGCTCTGGAAAGATGACGCCTGGTGAATTTGTCACATCTGGCTCTTATGTGGAGCAGACAGGCAGAGGCAGGACGAGCTCCCAGACTTTAGCCTCGTCGACCGGTTGACCGGCCACTGGCAGTAGTCAAGGCAACAGACATTTTGCATTCCCTCGCTCTCCTGCCTCCTTTGATGGCTGTACATTAGATTGTGTGTGTGTGTGTGTGTGTGTGTGTGTGTGTGTGTGTGTGATGAACAGAGGCAGGCAACACCATTTGTGAGAGGGGTTGGGGAAGTGAGAGAGGGGGATTACATCATTGCTCTAAGAGCAGGGACTTTTCTCTGTCAGACTGCAGAGGGCTCTCTCTCTCTCTGTCTTTCTGTCCTATTCTTTCCTCTTTTTATCCCTCTCTGAGTTCTCAATTCTCAATCTCAACATGTCCCCTTTTTTTCTCTTCTGCCTCATTCTGTTTAAATCTCTCTCCCACAGTCTCCTTTTTTCTCTGTCCTCCCTCTGTCTTTCTCCCTGAAGTGTCTGCCAGTGAATAACTTCCCTAAAGCATCTTGCAGTGGGAACCAGTGTGTCGTGAGCGATAGGGCTGTCTGAGGGCTATATTTAGAAACTTGGCTGATATTCTTGTCTGTGGTGCTGGTGGCGGCGCTCCTCTGGGCTCTTTGTGGCAGAGGGCTGCCGGGCCAGCGGTTAGGACTTTGGAGGACAGCAGTTGTAGTACAAAGTTGTTTTGGCAACAGTGCGGTCAATCGATCTCTCGCTTAGTTTCAGTCCCTCTGTTTCGCTACGTCACGCAGTCGTTAGCTCACTCGTTCACTTGCTCACTCTCTCATCTGCTCTCCTTCGTAGAGTCAGATGAATGCCTTTTGCCTGCTTTACTGTGTTCACAGTCACACTGCCTCATCCTCCTCTCTCCTCCCCCAGCGCCTCTCTACCTTACGTCATCCAGTCACATCTCTCTCTCTCTCTCTCTCACCTGTCCTCTTTCCCACGCTCGGTGCTCAGCCTCGCTCGTCCTACCTCTATCGCTCCGCTGAAAGCGCTCGCTCCTCTTCACCCCTCCTTCTCCCCTCACTCACACCATTTCTCCTCCTTATCAACCGGTTCCTACTTTGAAGATCGCCTGCTTGACCTCATTTGGGCACCACGCTGTTCTCTCCCTTCTTCAGAATTCAGGATTTAGGAAGGAGAGGTTTTAGCCCCCACTTCCCTTCCTTCCATCTCTTAGCTGAGTAAAGCTACCAGATGGACTTTTTTCTTGTGTGCCTGTCTTTGCCCAAAGGGTATAACTCGACCATACTAAATCCCAAATGTATAATACTTAAAATACAGAGAGAATAATGTGAACTCATAGCCACTAATTTGGAGCAAATATAGCAAATATATTAATAAAACTCAAACATGTCAGGGCTGATCTGATTGGGCTGAGGCAGGTCAGGTATGGATATGATTTTGATGTATTGTCTGTAACTAAATGGGACAGTAGTTAAATGTGGTCTAAAATATTTATGTTAAGGATGCTCACAGAGACACATCAATCTTTGGACACCCTTTTGATTAGATTTTATGTAATACTACTTTGTTACATAGTGACATACTGTTAAAAAGCTATCTACACCAGAGGGAACACAGATTCTGTCATTGTAAAAATGTGTTGTCTGGTTGGTCTGCCAATTTGGACCAGACTGAAATCTGGATGAATTGTAATAACTCTGGTAATCCCCTAAACTTTCCTCTAGCTCCATCATCAGGTCAAAATTAAAATTATCTAAAACTTTGGTTTATTACATTACATATATTTAACTGAGGCTTTCATCCAGAGCCACTTACAATAAGTGCATTTCAAGCATGTAGATACTAATCATGCAAGTACATCACCATCATCAAATATGCTGAACTGCCTTGAATGCTACATTTTGTGCTAGTTGGCCCCATCCAAGAACAGTTTCCTAAATATTATTATTATTTTTGTACTATGGGCTCGTATGAGTGTGCCACGTCAGATTTAACAAACGCTCCTAACTAAATTTCTGAAGTTAATTTAAAAGTTTAATTCATTTACATTTGACAGTTTTACATGGATTACAGAGCTAGTAAGAATCACTTACTCTTTATTCTTTTTCACTGGCAAGGGCGTCACTTTGTGTTGAAAAGTGGTGGGGACATAGGGACTCAGATTAGATATTCTCAATGCGGAGATATATGATTTTGGAAATTTTGATCTTTAAACACTTCATTTCCGACATTCTGGTGAAAGTTTCTGCACCAATGGTGGAAATGTTTTTGTAAAAGGAAACACAAAATTCAGGCGGCAGGTGACATTTCAAAATATATAAATATAACAGAATCTAAGTCAGTGCAGCTCTCAGGCATTCTGTGCTGCTTTCAGATCTGTTTCTCCTGTAGATCAACTTTTCTCGTAATATCATCCCTGCTGAGGCAGTCTATCCTACTCTTTTGTCATGTTCACAGGGAGAGAACGGAAAACTTGAAAAAGAAACTGTCAAGAAGTTGTTATATTGCATGCACGTTTTGGGACATTTTATAATCAGATTTTTTCAGCTTAAGTTACTGTTTTTGGACAATGCACATTTCTTCTATATTTTAATTACACTGCATGTTTTCTTATTGTGCAAATAAACCTTTCTAAAGGCATTTTGATTTGTTATTTAACTGCAAGCTATATTTCATTTCATTTTTATTTATATTTGTTTATTTTTTAAACAAATTATGTTAAAAAGGTGGTGGGGACAAAATCAGCCTTTTATTAAAAAAGTGGTGGGGACATGTCCCCAGTGTCCCCAGTGTAAATGACACCTGTGTATTGGTTGAAAAAATGAACAAATCATGAAAAACGGTGTTTTAGAGAGGTTCATAGACTGTGTATGTGTGCCTTCACCAAATGAACTGCACATTTTAATTGCTCCACGCTCTGGAGCTATTTTAGTCATTTCATTTATTTAGGCATCAAGGTTACTTTATTTAGGTTGCTAAAATCTTGCTTGGTTTACTGTATGTGTCGTCGTGTGCACAATGCTGCTCTTTTACTTTCAGTTCAGGAATAAAACTGATGTGCATGGGTGTTCATTGTTGAACGACATGCACTTTGCAAACACCAGAGACCAGCTGTTCTCCACAGAAATTCATTATCATTTTTTTCATTCTTCATTCTGTGTGATATCCCACTCTTCACTACACAGCTGTTACAATCACTAGGTAGAAAGAGATGTTCGGTCAATCGGTTCACTCTCTCTGTGTTTTTCACCAGATCCTGCCCGTGTGGTAAACATGCCATCTGTCATCTACGTGGCCATTGGTCTGCCCGGCTTCATCCGCTGTCCTGTAGATGCCAATCCCCCTGTTACTCTGGTTAAGTGGAAGAAAGATGGCCTCCCTCTCCGGATAGATAAGGTGAGCTGGAGCCGTGCTGTAGCTTTGGTTCCGCTTACTTTATCCTGCCTCAGACTGCATCATTTCTTCGGTTGAAGCTTTGTGTGGTTCCATTTTTCAATTCCTTCTTTCATTTCAGTGTGCTTCTCTATCTCTTATTTGAGTGAAATATGCAGTCACCCTGGGTTATGCTATTCCTTACGCACAGTCCATGACTTCTCCATCCACAGTACCCTGGTTGGAGCCAAATGGACGATGGGAGCATCCGTGTGGCAGAGGTGACGGAGGACTCTCTCGGCACCTATACCTGCATGCCTTACAATGCCCTGGGTTCCATGGGATGGTCCCCTCCCGCTCCCCTGGTGCTAAAGGTATGTCCATGGTCACTGTGCAAATGATCCCAAGATAGCAAATCAGCTGTTATGCATGCAGGAGGCAGTGCCAGACCACCATCAGTTTTTACTCACCTGTTTTACCCTTGGCAGGACCCTCCCAAATTCTCAGTGGTTCCTGGAGGGGAGTACAGGCAGGAGGCTGGGAGAGAACTGGTTGTCCCCTGTGAGGCAGAGGGAGACCCCTTTCCCAACATCACATGGAGGAAGGTAAGATATCTTCCACACTCTACACCCCACTGCCTATGTTTATAATTTGGCCACTGAATTTCCGGTGTACAGCTGTTTTTTAACCTCTACTTCATATTGTTGTGTGTCACATTGTTTTCCATTGAGAACCTTTTGATGCTGAAACCTGCGCCTGTAGTGGGTGCTCAGATTTTAATTACTCAAACTACTGTATATAATTTTTGTGTTTTTAATCACATTTTAATGATGTCTATAAAATATGCAATGAAGCGAACATATTAGATTCTCTCAATTGTTTGCTTGATTAATCTCACTCACTGACTACTCTGATTAGCTATTGTTTTTGTCTTCCACTTATGAAATTCATAATTCATCATTCTGTATAATTTGATACTTTAGTTAGATATTTAAAGCAATATTTGCACAACATCACATTGCTATTTTGAACAGTTGGTAAACTCTCCCTGATGTTGAGTTGAGTTTTGAATTGCATGTTCCAACTTGTCCGTCTCTGTTTTATTGTCTGACTCTGTCTTCGCTTTTCTCGGTGGACTGCAGGTAGGGAAGCCCAGTAAAAGCAAGCACAATGTTCTGCCCAGAGGCAGCTTACAGTTCAAGTCACTCACAAAGGAGGACCACGGGGAGTGGGAGTGTGTCGCCACCAACGTTGCCACGAGCATCACTGCCAGCACGCACGTCCAAGTCATAGGTACCCAACATATACATACAGATAAATGCATAAATACATACATTACATCAGAATCTCTTTCTGTAACAAGTGCAGTAACTGACTATTCACTAACACCCCACACTGTTGCTACGACTCTTAAGCTTTTCATTTCCACATGGCACATATTCATTTTACAATGATTTGGCTTTTCAGTAATTTGTGGAACAAACGTTCTTGGATTTTAAAAAGAGAGACAAAAGTAGCTTTGCCCCCTGAAATGTTGCTGACAGATGTTATCGACTGTAGCTAGCTAGCTAATTAGTGGTGCTGCTTAGTAGTGGATATTTTTTGTCTTGATTAACCAAGTAGTGTCTCCAACAGAACACATGTTGGGAACAGATGCTTGTAAGTGTGTCTGCCTCCCAAACCCAAAGTGGGACCTGATTCCACAGGAGAGGAGCTTGATAGCAGAAGGCTTTGGCTCCTATTCTACTTTTGGAGACTGTAGGAACCAAGTAATACTTTTCTGGGAGCACAGTGTTCTAGTAGTGTAATAAGGTACTATAAGCTCTTTAAGATGGTGCCTGACTATTAAGGGCTTTGTAGATGATCAGAAGGATTTTGAATTCTATTCTATTCTAAAACAGGAGAAATATGATCTCTTTTCCTGGTTCTTGTCAGTAGACAAGTCTTACGAGACTTATTTAAGCAGCCTGATAATAAGGAATTGCAATAACCCAACCTAGAAGTAACTAAAGTTTAGTTTAGGACAGTTTAGGAAAGATTAGTTTTTCTGCATCATTTTGAGACAGGATGTTCCTGATTTTTGCATTATTACGTAGGTGAAAAAAGTCGGTCCTTGAAGTGTGTTTTATGTGAGAGTTAAAGGGTCAAAGATAACTCCGATATTCCTCACAGTGGTGCTGGAGGCCAGGGCGATGCCGTCCAGAGAGACTGTATCTTTAGATAATGTGTCTCAGTGGTGTTTGGGGTTTGAGTTTAAAATTGCAGGTTTTTACGTCCTTAAGGTATGCTTGAAGTTTAGCGAACTGATTGGTATAATCTGGCTTAATGAATAGATATAATTAGGTATCATCTGCATAACAGTGTTTCCATAGGAAACATACGTAAGGTGAACAGGATTGATCAAAGCACAGAAACTTGTGAAACTCTGTGACTAACTTTGTTATGGAGGACTCATCGTTAAAATGTACAAACTGAGATCGATCTGATAAATAAGACTTAAACCAGCTTAGAGCGTTTCCTTTGATGCCAATTATGTTCAAGTCTCTGTAATAGGATGTGATGGTCAGTGGTTTTGAATGCAGAACTAAAATCGAACAAGACAAATACAGAGACGAGTCCTTTGTCTGATGTAATTATAAGGTCATTTGTAATTTTCACCAGCGCTGTCTCTGAACTCAATCCTTTACATCTTGAAAATCCTCAAATAAACTATTGTCTTGTAAGATCTGATTGGCGACAGCTTTCTCAAGGACCTTTGGGAGAAAGGTTAGATCTACACTACTGTGCATTTTTACATTTGCCTAAAACTTTTTTCACAGTACTGTAGGTCTATAGTGGAATAAACTGGATCAAGAGTGAACGTTTTAAAAAAAATGTTTTATTATTTATTATATATTTATATATTATTTATATATTTAAATGCCTCTGGTAAATGCAGTCACTGGGACAGTCTGTCCTGTTGTCAATCATTGTCCTTGCTGACCACTCTACTTCCTCTCTGGGTGTGAGCCAGTCAAATCAGAGCAATACAATGACTGTATTGAACTGGCTACTGATTGGTTTGCTGTTGCACTGGCTTACCTAAACAATGGAAAGGGTAATGAGCAAAGTTAAGAATTATGGCTGGAAACATTTACTTTTGGCAGGTAACACCTACAAAAAAATGTAATAATAATTTTGGACACTTGACCATTATTCAAGATTACATAATTCATGTAACCAAAATTATTGTTTTTCTCATTTTATTTATAGTTAGATTTTCTGGCTGCTTAAAAACAAATTGTTGTGTCTAGCTCACAGTAAATGTATTTGACAAGTAAAATTAATGTACCGTATCAGAGCAAGGCTACTCAGTGACTGCTGTGCCCTTGTAACAAAACATTCTCACTGCAGGTACAAGCCCCCACGCCCCCACCAGCGTCCATGTGGCGGCGTCTTCCACCTGGGCCAATGTGTCCTGGGAGGCGGCCTATGATGGAGGTTTCCAACAGACATTTTCAGTCTGGTATGGCCATGTGTGAGTCATCCCAGCATGCTTTGCTTCCTGCTTTTTCTTCGTCCAATACTTCCTCTGTTATTTCTCAAAATGTCTTTTCCAGGGTTGTGTTCAGAACAGTTGTGAAAAGGTAGAGATGGAAATACATGGAGATCCAGTGTGAGTGAGTTTTCATCTCTGATCTTGGAATTTCTGGAGGAACGGATTAAAACAGTTGCAACTAAACTGAACATGACCCAAAGTTCTCTGTCCTTCTGCTGCTGCTGCTGCTTTGTCGCTGCTTCACTGTGAAAAAAGCCTAGGTTGAAATGTTTCATTTAGTAATTACTTGAGATTTTAGCCATGACCGGTGCAGTATAACCGTAATCATACTGATGCGATGCGTGTTAACATACCCTCAATGTGTATAAAATGTGGAGTGAAAAACATAGGTGTTCCTCTGGTTGTCATCTTACTGCTAATCATGGGTCAGGTGTGTCTAAATAAATACACTATACAAATACACGTATTTCATCTTCTTGAAGGAGTATGAAGTAGTTTTAACCCAGGTCTATAAGGGAGCTGTCTGCAGTTTGGCTGATAGGTGTGAGCAAAATGTCTAAAAAAAACCCAGAAGTTTGGTGGATTTTAGCAGAGCTTTCTAGGACATATGATCAAAAACAGGACAGTGACAATATATATAATGTCATTATAATCACTAAAACAGATTCTGTCAATTATTTTACCTTGCTGCCAAAGTGGATGCATTTTCAGTGTGGGTGTGCTGGTTGATTTTGAACAAACTCCTCTTAAAGAGTTTTGACTCAGTTGAGAATGTATAGAACCTTGTGAGGTGATCTAATCTCCATAAAGCAGGAAATATATTTAATAAATGTAACAGCTGTTAGCAATATGTGTTGCAGACGCAGATGCTTTTGTTTAGCTGGTTCTTGAACTGAAGAGTTGGATGCAGTCTTTATTTTAGCAGTGTCTTTGTCATTGTCTGTATATTTCACCCACATTCAATAAAACTGTGCAGTTTCAGCAAACATGTCACTGTAATGTGATAATATCCTAATATCATTGTCAGATAGCTCAGTTGGACCCTGTTAGAGAAATACAGTACTGACTACAGTCGAGTTCCACCACTATCAGTTTGGTCTCTTCCTTAAGCTTCTGAATGTGCAGTACACCTGCTCATGAACACATATACACATGCAAACCATTAAAAACAAAGGAAATGAGCTGTAACATTCTGCTGCACTGTTCATATGCAAAATAAATACTGTGTGAAGTCATTGTTAGGTGATCAATCATTAGACAATTTCGACCAATCATTTCAACAAAGTATAATCCAGTAGTACAATCATTGAAAACAAGTCACCAAGAAATTGCTGGTCTCTTTGTTGCATTTCATGTTGTGTATGATCAACTTTGATTTCAAGGGTCTTATGGATTGCTTTAAAACATAAAAGTAGACTCTTTACAACGTTAAACAAGAGAGTGATACTGTTCTTTATCACAAACAGAGTGAATAGCACCATCCTATATGTCTTGGATATTATTGAATAAAATACTACAGGGTACTATTCTAAATATCTAACAGGAAATTTCAATGTAAGCAGTGACACACATGAAATTTTTACACATAATTAAATCTTAATACATAAGTTATTCAGCTGTTAAGCATATCAAAATTGGATCAGCATTACTAATTTTAATGGAGGCCTGCTTTAGACTGATTGTGCACTGTGCAGCTGTGTCATATAGGGGTAAAATTATACATTTAAACAACGGATAAGACTGTATCAGCAGATACTTTATATTAAGGAACAAAAAATATATATTCATCAATAATATATTGCTACTAGAAAACTGTACTGTGTGCAGTTCACATTAATCTAGCTATGTTGGTGAAATCAGATAACCTCAGTAGGTGATGTGTTGTGTGTTACATCAATCTAAACATAAAGGAACTGCTTCACTATTACTCCAGGCATTTATAGTAGGAGTTTTGCATAGCTGCTGCATGTGTACCGTTTTCTGCTGTATTTGGTGATCAGGTCAGGCATGGCAAAAAAGCAGCAAACTGCAAAGCTGAGCGCAGCATGGGCTTATTACCATCAAGTGAAAGGCATGTTGTGATTAAAGTGAACGGTCAAAAATTCATAATGTTTAATTTTACAATTATGATGGAACTAGACCTGTTGCGGAAATGATGTTATGTTACATTGTACGGGTGCATCTAAATAAATTAGGATATCACAGAAAAGTTCATTTTTGTCTTTTATTTAATTCAAAAAGTGAAACTTTCATATTCTAGATTCATTACAGTATTAAGCCTTATCTTGATCATTACGGCTAACAGCTCATGGAAATCAAACATCAAAATATTAGAATTTTAGAATAAAGAATTAATAATACAGAAATTTCAACCTTCAGAAAAGTTCAGAAAAAGGTAAATTTACGCGCTCAGTACTTTGTCGGGGTTCCTTGTGCACAAATGACTGCATGCAACGCGGCTCGGCATATGAACTTTTCCATGATATGCAATTTTTTTGAGATGCCCCTGTAATGTGCAAACTGTGTGATAACAATGATGCTGAGAAAACACTTCCCTTAACTCTAAATTGTGTCTTTGTACAGACTTTTTTACATGATCAACATGAAGTTATCTTTTAACTCAATCTAAAACAAAAAGGGAAGGCACTCCCATTATCTTTTTTCATGTCTTTCCTGTCTGTCCGCTCATCTCTCATCCTGACTCCTGTACAGGCTGAAGAGGGAGCATTTAGGTCCACATGACTGGCTTTCCATACCTGTGCCTGGAGGCCATGACTGGATGGTGGTGCCCGGCTTGGAGCCAGAGACAACATACCAGTTCAGTGTACTGGCCCAAAACAAGCTTGGCACAGGCCCCTTCAGCGAGGTTGTCACTGTGAACACACTAGGTGAGTATACTCACTACCGCTCGACAAAGGGATCCAGTAATGAAATGGCTAGAAAGCCTCTAATGTTATTATACAAAAAAATCACTCTGTGCAAGACTACGACTTCCTGGATTACTATATTCAATTTTAGAAGGAGTGTAAACCTTGATTCTCATTTGCTCTCTAACATTTTCATATGAATAATATGTCTCTAAAGAGGGAAGAACAATGTTAAACATCTATGTAAAATCACCAATGTAATATGAAAAAAGTAGATAAGTTAATTTAACATTCCAGATGAGATTAGTGCTACAGTGTTCTTTTTTCGTTGTTTAGCCAACATTCAGAATTCATGTTAATGGGCTACAATCATCAGCGACATTATGAGCTCAAACTTTCATTTGCTACAGCTTGTTTAGACACTGTTCTGACAATGCCCTGTTATATTGTGTCACAGATACTCTTACTGAACATTTAAAAAGAAAATGCAGTTATGTTCTGTCCACTTAAAACTTTTTTTTTTCTGGATAAAGTTGGATTATCAGAACACGAATGTAAAAGACACTATGTAAAAGCTTAAACCAGGCTTTTGTTGAATCATTGTGCCTCATACAATTCCTTACAGCAGTAAAAGGGACATTTATTATGTATAAATGAAGGTGTCACAGATTATTAGTTAAAGATAAGTGACAAGTGAAAATTGGGATAACTATTCACGCTTCATCGCCTTCTGTGTCAGCCACAGAGTAGAAACAAAGAAGAGAGAGCATTTAGCTCAGGGACTGCTTGTTGTCTTTTTGTCCTTTAACAGCCGTAAAGGAGGAAATATGAGCTAATATGAAATGTTTATGAAATGACCTTGCAAGGATTCAGAGTTGAATTAATAAGATACATGTGAATTTCATGCTTCTGTCAGAGATGCATTTGGTATAAAAGCTTAATCACATCTGCTCACAGTCTAGTTAAGATTCAAGTCAGTGTTAAAGTGTCAAAGGGGGCTGATCATTGGTGGAACTGCTCCCTGAATATATAACTGAGTCACTCACACACATTCTCAACCCTAATGTGCTCTTTCAGTATTTCCTATAAGTACCCCTGAACCATTGGTGCTGCTTACCCCACCACGGTGCCTCACAGCCAATCGCACGCAGCAGGGAGTCCTGCTCACCTGGATCCCGCCTGCCAATCACACAGCACCTATCCAGCATTATGTCATGGAGTTTCGCCTAGGGGAACGATGGGAGGTCTTGGACGACAGCATTCCTTCTGGGGAGACGGAGTTGCTCGCCCGAGACCTCATCCAGGTAAAAGAAAGGACTGTGGACAAATTTGAGTGCAATCCTGACGGTGCATTCCCACATAACAGTTACATAACAAACAAACAAATAAAGCAACAAAATTGCAAATATAAGAATGTTTGAGCTAAAAAATGAAGGTTTTAAATATACAAATGCAAAAGTGTGTTTATTAATAAAACAGTAGGTACAGTACCAGTAGTTTATTGGTAGCAACTTAGATATTTCTCTCCCGAATCTTTTCACATTGTTAAATTGCTGTGGCCCTATGTACAGATTGTGCAGTTAATAATATACAAGATACACTGAAAATGGTATAGTGGAAATGTAAACATCTGTGCATTGTTCTTAGAATGTACTAAAAGTATTACAGTGCTGATAGTCACAGTTCCCAAACAGTCAGTATCAGTGTTCAGTTGGCAGTTTTCAGTCAGTACTTGTCATTATTCAGTTCTGGTATGGCTCTGGTGTAGAGTTGTTCTTAAGTCTGTTCATGATTTGATTGACCTGAAGCATCTCCCAGGTAAAACAGATGATCTCCAGGCGATATGTCAAAAATATTATATCACGATTTATTTCAGGCAGGATTACGATCTTCATGATCTTATCACGATTCATTTACATGTTTGATTTTAAGACTATTTTGTTTCTAAGTTATTGGTTTGTTGGTTGAAAAGAGAAATTATTAATCGTATACAGTACAATGTTGACTAATGATTCATTCAAACAACAAAGAACTGATTAATTTTGTTCTTATAACATTTTAAAGACAGGAAGGGATTTGTTGCAGATATTGACTGCAATGTTGACAGAGTAGCCGTCAACTGCGTGTGTAGCCACAGAAGTAACCTGATAGACAATGTGCACTGTAGCACGATACTGACGATCTCTTTAAAAAGGCAGATCGTGGAGACATTTTAATTGTTCACAATCTAATATCGTAATATCACACACCTCTATGTCCAGGGTGGTTAGTATGTTGACTACTCTACTGATGCAGCATGAGCTGAATAAGTCCTCCAAGGAAGGAAGTGAGCAGCAGATGATCTTCTGTGCAGTGTTGATGACCCTGTGAAGAGCTCTCCTGTCCGATGCTGAGCCGCTGGCAGAACACACAGAGATACGGTACATCAGTACACTCTTGATGGAGTAGTGGTAGAAGGACCAGCAGGTTATCAGGCAGGTTGTTTTTCCTGAGGATGAGGAAGTTAAGTCTTTTTTGTGTCTTCTTGTCTGCTGAGGTGGTGTTGGTAGTCCAAGAGAGGTCTTCAGCTATGTGTACACCAAGGAACCTGAAAGCAGGGACCTATTCGACACAGTCCCCTTTGATGTGTAGTGGATTGGGGTCTCTCTGGTTGGGTCAGAAGTGTAGAGAGTGAGAAGAGAAGGGGGGCTCAACACACAGCCCTGTGGCTGGGGCTGAGTTTAAGTATTATACTAGACCTATATCTGACAGTTCCAGGCTTTAGAGATGTCTAGGATGTAGTTGAGGGTTAAACACACCTTTTAGTTTGCAGATTTGAAGTCACACAGCACTGAAGATGTAGACTGAATTCTTGATGATTTAAAATAAAACCACGGTATACCGGACCAGGCAGTTAGAAATCCAGCTATTACCTGGTCTTTTAAAAGTCTTAAAATTATCTAATTATTGAATTTAAGGAGGTTAAGGTTGGTTTGTCGAAATAAACAGCTAGTGGTGCTAAATCTCCAGCCAGTGCTGTTAAAAAGACCATGGTTGGAGATGAGGGTGTCACAAGATGATGTAATTAAAAAAGCAGCTGTCAAACCTCAAACTGTGAAAAACTGTGTCAAAAGCACAATGAAAGTATGGTATGTATATGTTATGCATATTCCATGTTTTGATTTGAGGAGGGTTATAGTCTCCTTATCGCTCCTCACAGATATGATCTTTTTTGCAAATTACAAGTGCATATGAACAGAAACCCACATTATGATTCTGTTGTTTTTGAAGGCAGCCTTGTTTTAGCAACAAAAAGTGGCTGTTATTGTAAAGCATTTCACAAGAATATGATTATAATCACCAAAAGACATGCCATAAAGACATACAGTATCTCAAATGAGTACACCCCTCACATTTATGTAAACATTTGATTCTATCTTTTCATGTGACAACACTGAAGAAATGACACTTTGCTACAATATAAAGTAGTGAGTGTACAGCTTGTATAACAGTGTAAATTGCTGTCCCTTCAAAATAACACATCACACAGCCATTAATGTCTAAACCACTGGCAACAAAAGTGAGGACACCCCTAAGTGAAAATGTCCAAATTGGGCCCAATTAACCATTTTCCCTCCCCGGTGTCATGTGACTCGTTAGTGTTACAAAGTCTCAGGTGTGAACGGGGAGCAGGTGTGTTAAATTTGGTGTCATCGCTCTCACACTCCCTCATACTGGTCACTGGAAGTTCAACATGGCACCTCATGGCAAAGAACTCTGAGGATCTGAAAAAAAGAATTGTTGCTCTACATAAAGATAAAGATAGTCTAAAAAGATTGCCAAGACCCTGAAACTGAGCTGCAGCACGGTGGCCAAGACCATACAGCGGTTCAACAGGACAGGTTCCACTCAGAACAGGACTCGCCATGGTCGACCAAAGAAGTTGACTGCACGTGCTCAGCGTCATAGCCAGAGGTTGTCTTTGGGAAATACACGTATGAGTGCTGCCAGCACTGCTGCAGATGTTGAAGGGGTGGGGTTCTGCATGGCTGTCATCTGAGAAGGAAGCCTCTTCTAAAGATGATGCACAAGAAAGCCCGCAAACAGTTTGCTGAAGACCAGCAGACAAAGGACACAGATTACTAGAACCATGTCCTGTGGTCTGATGAGACCAAGATCAACTTATCTGGTTCAGATGGTGTCAAGCGTGTGGTGGCAACCAGGTGAGGAGTACAAAGACAAGTGTGTCTTGCCTACAGTCAAGCATGGTGGTGGGAGTGTCCTGGTCTGGGGATGCATGAGTGCTGCCGGCACTGGGGAGCTACAGTTCATTTAGGGAACCATGAATGCCAACATGTGCTGTAACATACTGAAGCAGAGCATGATCCCCTCCCTTCGGAGACTGGGCCGCAGGGCAGTATTCCAAACACACCTCCAAGACGACCACTGCCTCGCTAAAGAAGCTGAGGGTAAAGGTGATGGACTGGCCAAGCAGGGCTCCAGACCTAAACCCTATTGAGCATCTGTGGGGAATCCTCAAATGGAAGGTTGAGGAGCGCAAGGTCTCTAACATCCACCAGCTCCGTGATGTCGTCATGGAGGAGTGGAAGAGGACTCTAGTGGCAACCTGTGAAGATCTGGTGAACTCCATGCCCAAGAGGTTTAAGGCAGTGCTGGAAAATAATGGTGGCCACACAAAATATTGACACTTTGGGCCCAATATGGACATTTTCACTTAGGGGTGTACTCACTTTTATTGCCAGCAGTTTAGACATTAATGGCTGTGTGATGTGTTATTTTGAGGGGACAGCAAAATTACACTGTTATACAAGCTGTACACTCACTACTTTACATTATAGCAAAGTGTCATTTCTTCAGTTGTGACATAAAAACATGCATTCACCATAAAAAATGACGTCTCAGTACACACAATACACTGTCATAAAAAGTGGCTTTTTTCTTATTTGACTAAGGTGTAGTTAAAAAGACTAATACCAAAAAACGTCTGTATTTTTCAGTCAAGTTCTCAAGTCCTCATAGTTTTGTCCATTTGACTATGGTTTAAAATGGCTTTGCACTCATCTGCCTCCATTCTTCATCTTCCTTTCATTTAGTTTGTCATCTGTGTACTCTGTTTAGAATTAAGAGAAGACAACAAAGTCAAATCTTCTGTTGTTTCTTACTATTTGCCAGCATGTACACATGTTAAATAGACAAATTGCCAGTGTATGCTGATGTACAAGCAGCTGTTTGGTTAGCCAGCTGGTTGTCCTGGAAGGAGACGTGTGCAGTTAGCCACAATAGCTAATCCACTGGGATAATTTCTGTTTACTTTAGTTTGGATTAAATTTGATGTCTGTATAATGTTGTAAGGAGCCAGTTTTCCATATATGGTCATTTGCTCCAGGCATAGAATGCCAGCCACGCCCACAAAGAAAGTGCAGCCCCATCTTTCTAACCCAGTAAACACCTCAGTGTCTTGGCAAATGAAGACAATGAGCTTGGGGGGCTTAAAGAGGCAGGAGCATCTACAGCTTGTTTCAGACAGAGGCTGAAATGAAGGCCTGCATAAAGAGCCATAATGAGATTTATTTATTTTTCTTACTTTTAATCATGCAAAGCTACCATAGAGTAGTCGCAGAACTACAATATAGGGCTGGAAATGCAGTATCAGCAGGTGAAATGCAGGTCAGCGGAAACAAGTTATGAACACTATTTGTCATATCGTCTTTTAATTTTAAATGGTTAACAGTTAACAGTTGCTTTACATAGCAACTTGAAGAACCTATGTTAGTCCAGCATTTATTCTCTTTAAGTTCTGTTTTGGTCTCTACCAAAGCCGGACAGAAATCTCTGGCTGTTTAGCTGCTAAATGAATGCTAAATTAGCCAGTCGCTAATTATGTCTGTCTGGCGTTTAGTGCTGATCAGGTGGGTTGCAGTGGGCCTGCTGCAGCTGAAATTAATGCTATGAGAGCGGTGAGAGTGAACCAAAACATTAAATACTGTGTGCCAGACAGCTAAAAAGTGAACTGAAACTCACTATAAAGCTACGTAAAGCTGAGGGGAGCTGATGATTCTAGTTATAGTTCTATGTAGGTTCATTACTACGAGTGACCCCTTTCATGCAAGCGACAATGTTCACTTTGTTATTTGATACACTGTTCTATAAAAACATCCATTACAGCTGCTTTAAGGAGGCTGTGTGTTGTCTTGTTTAGTTCCATTTTCCAAATCTCTGCAGCAGAAGCAATGATTCCAAAGTTATCGTAATCCATCGTCAGAATGGACACAAATGTGACAATAAGACACAGTCACAACATTTTTCTCTAGCATCCCAAAGATTTTGATGTTCTTGCTGCATCATCAAGTCAAACCTCTCCAAAACAATATTTTGAGCTACATGTTACATCATTTCATTTAATCAAGTCTTTAGAAATCATGTTGATCCAGTTAAATTAATTAATTAATTTAGGTTTTTCCTGTCTGATCATTCCCGTCTGTATTTATGTAACAGTTTCCCACTGTATTCTACTGAAGGTGTAAGAACAAAAAAAGAGGCCCCCTCTGTTTCACAGTGCACAAACATCTTTTAATTAATACCTCAGTTTTCAAGTAAATTTAATCGGGTATAATATTTGCACATGTACAACACTACATAGTGACTGACATCAATTATGTTGCTACTTAAGAAGTTTGACTTCTAGTTTTAGATGCACAAGAATTTCCAAATGCTGAAAGAATTGCCCTCCGTAATGAGCATGTCAGTATGAAGAGATCTCAGTTCTGATACTATTGAGGCCTACTGCAGGCAAAGTTGATTTGTTTTTCAAGGTGTGCTAGTAATGCTCTAAATTAAAAGTACCCAGATCAGATTCTTCTTATGTATAATGATGGGCTGCCATATCCTCTTTGGTTGTCATAGTAACAATGCAGGTGTGTGTGCACACGCTGACTCACTTTCTGACCATCGCTGTGGAATTTACTGCATGGCATTTCGTGTTTTTACTTTTTCTGTTGCATGTGACCTGCAGAACACACACGCTTTTATTTCTGCAGGCGGCTTGTACTGAGCACAGAAATAATAGTAACTGAAACATGAAATTAAATACAATGTAATACACTGTATCAATATAAATTATAAATACCATGTGTTTTTTTTAGAGGACAGTGAAATTCTTGGAGATATTTTCTCTACAGCAAAGGAAAATCTTATGTATTTATGAGTTCTAACAGATCTTGCTCATGTCAGCTAATTGTCCTGCCGTGACATGTTTGAGCTTCTTTCTTTAATCTAACTACCACTTTCAGCTTCATGCAGATGCTTTTATCTCTCCTTTTATTGCACAGCAAACACCCACACACACATCTCTCCAGCTCTCTGACCACACACGATGCACCTAGCTTGTATAACTTTTTCACTTTTGCAGCTGAGGTCATTTGACGAGGGGGGATGCTCTGTTTGGTTGTCTGCATGTGTATTTGTGTGAAAGTATAAGGTGTTTGGTATCACACACGTCTCCACATTCAAATCGTCAGTCTTTTCTGATGGTGTAGGAAGCTGTCAGTTCAGTCCACAGCACAGTGTCGGGCCAACAGTACAGAGAAGTAGGTATTGCACCCTGCTGAAGTGTCCTTGAGCAAAACACAGCCTGAATCTCTGCCAGCTCTACAGCTGCTGTTCTGTAGCTGACCCTGCACTGTGGAGAGCACAGCCAGCACCAAGTATATGAAAACCAGGTTCTAAAAGGCTTAATTTGTCTTTTCATCATGACCTAGTCATTTATCCATCTTGAGTAAAAGTAATCATCCAATATGATATTCATGTAATCAGTTAATTTGCGGTCATTCATTTTCTATTGAGATTCTTGTCATGTTTTGTATATGTTTCTTGTCCCTTCTTATACATATTGTTCTCATCACCGCATAGCCTTTTGATATAATTATGCTATTGATTTTAAAGATAATTTGCTTCCATTTATTAGAGTTTATATCATTCAATTGATCAGTAAACTATGTCATCCAATTTACCTTAATTTGCTGACAGGTTTCTAACATCTTAAAAATGATATTAATAAAAATTGGGGGGCCTTGTCAGAGATGTGAGATATCCTAGTGTAGAGCTACAGAAGAGTGGTATGTGTGTAAAATTGGTGGTGTCAAAATCAGTTTGCAGCACGTGACTTCTGATGTTGAAATCTACAGTGCCATTGGTGTAGGAACGGCACATTTTTTACCTCAAAGTTCCAACATTTTATTAAGCCTTTTAAATCTCAAATTGTGGTACTAAAACTAAACGGTAACTTTCAGTGACTCAGCTGCACTATTTATTTCCAAAGCATTGGAGGCTTAGCTGGCTGGTCTTTGGAGACACAAACAGAAACCACGGCCTGATTGAACCGTTCTGACAACAGGCATGAGATCCAGATGGTTTACTTCCTGAATGTTTATCTCTTTTTTCTCCTGCTCCTAGGAGGCGTGGTACGAATTCCGTGTCATGGCCGTCATGGATGAAATGATCAGTGAGCCTAGTAACGTAGTGGGAGTGTCCAGCACAGGTGAGCCAGTCCATCACATGATGCAGTATAATTTCACTTGTGGTCATTATTAACAAAATCAGAATATAAAATTGCAAATAATGAATGTTTAAGCCACACATAACACAGTATATATGCATGTAAAATGAATCAGAGACTAAGAAAATAGGACAAGCCTCTTTGAAACACTGCTCGCTGCCTTGAATTTATAGGAGCTTTTCTTGTCAATGCTGGGATTCAACCCGACAACCTCTGGCAGTAACCTGCATCTCTAACCTCAGGCAATCTTAACATTTCTGAGGGCTCTAGATGTATTGCACACGCAGCAACTACAACTTTACATTTTGCCCACTCAGCAGTATTCAATCGAAGCTCACTTTACATGCCCACTCCTTTGTACCATTCTGAAGAGTATGACATCACCGTTCTGCCTGTCTCCCACAGATTGTATCGGGCTGCTTTGCGCTAAAAAAAGATTCAATAAAGACTTTTTTTGTTGTTTTGAATCCGAAATTAAACTCCTCAAAATGTGATGTCACTCCTCTGCAGAGGTCACTGAGTACACTTTTGGTAAGAGCAGCTGTTGGCAGGGTTACAGAGAATATTTGCTCTTGAACCCTTGGATCTCTGAAAGCACTCTGCTGCCCCCTCCTGGTAAAGGTGGAACTCTGTGCTATGTGGTGCTCATTTCTCTGCTGATATGGGTCATTGTATATGTATTCATTTGAGTGCTGTCTCTACATATTGCCAGTCAGTATCATATGTAAAACATGATGGATACACCACGTCCTTCCAAAGATGACAAAGGTGTTCTTTGGCTCATCAGTAGTGATTTTAAGTAATGTTACTGGAGGTGCAGTACTCTGCAGTTTGCTGTGTCATGCTTCGCTGCTGCACATAAGCCACTCTAACAAGTTCATAACAGAGGTTGACACATTGTCCCCCCTGGTCCTCACTGAGCGATTCATTAGCATGTAGGTCAGTAAAATAAGTCCAGCATTAATTACTGAGGACAGTTCTAAAAGTCGGTAGCGCTATGCTTATGTTGTATGAAACATAACTTAGTGACACTAAGGTTTGAATCCTAATTCAAAGTCATGTCCAAGTTGACAAGCTATGGGCACACAGTAAAGGAGACCAGTGTAACAGACTAATATATCTGCCAATGCTGTCCTTTGTATATAGCCTCATTTCCACTGCAAGGTATGGCTCGGCTCGGCTCAATTTAAGCTGACTTGCTTTTGGTACTAGGTACTTTTCTCAATTTTGTTTTCCACTGCAGACAGTACCCCTTCAATGTAGGCGGGATTCTTAGCTGATCGTTATAGCAACACAGCATGAAACTGCTGTGTCGTCATCTTCAACGCGACACAAACACACTGGTGACGGTTCCATCTTAACAATTAGTGGTCTGCAGTGTTTTAACCAACTTTAAGTATCGGCACAGCTCGCTTAGAACCTTGACCAAGAGTAGTTGAGGTTCTCCATCAGCTATTGGAGATCCTAAAACAATTCTAAATACCAAAAAAGTATCAGGGACCAGGTATTATCCGCACTTTTTGCCAACAGAGAACGGTTCCAAGCATCTGTGCATCTTGCAGAATCAGTGGATAATAGTAGTTTGTTAATAATGTATTGGATTCCCTGAAATTTTATAATTATTGTTGATTTTGGAATTCTGTACATTCATTAAGAGTTTTCCCTCTTATTTCCCCAGAGTTAATGCTGACACAGCGCTAAAAAAAAAAAAAAAATCTGTTAATAATTTGTAATAAATGGGGGAAATTTCCTCTCTGCTCACCTTAAATCTCAGTTTAACACCTGATCTACAAGCTGGGTTTGTGTAGTTTGGAAGCCAGTCATGGTCCAGTCTGAAAGTTACATAAGCGTGATATGGAAACGAGAAACCTTTCAGTGCACTTACAGTGAGAGTCAGTGAGGGGAGAAGTACTCTGATCTAAGTATTACAGTGTAGCAATACTCGATACTCATTCAAAATCTTAATGTAAAAGTACAAAAGTATTGGCATTAAAAAGTAACAAAAAGAACAGTACTCATCATGCAGAATGGCCAAAATCACAATAATGTATCATATTATTAGATTATAATTATTGATTTATGTGTTCATCACTTGTGTACGGTATTGCAGCTGGTGAAGGTGGTGCTAATTTTAACTTACATACTGCTGGGTAACTTATGAATCCCCTGAATCTGGAATGTAGTGGAGTAGAAGTATAAAGTAGTATATAATGGAATCAAGTAAAGTACCTGTACTGTACAACTTCCAAAATGAAAAATATTTGCATATTCATAGATCCTGGATTTTTCAGTGAGGGATTTGGAGTAGATGTAATTTTAGGGTTTTTTAAATATTATTTTAGGTTTTATTTTAACTAACTACTAATTACCTGACTAATTAACTACCAGACACATTCTTTTTCCAAGTGAGTATTTTTATATGACTTTAAACTAAAGCTGTAGCAGCCAGGCAATCCAGTGCACTTGTAGCTTCATCTTTTCAGCAGAGTTTATTTTGTGAGTAAACAGTTTCTTACATTGTAAAGCTATGATTACAGATATTTGTGGGGGAAAATGAGTTTTCCTTTCTTGGGCCCTTCTAAGGCTCCTCTGCAGGAACTTAGCCTGCTATTTATTGGATGAGGCTTCCCTAATTTGTTGATCCTGATTCAGTTTCTCATATTGTCAAATAGCCACAGTGTGTTCTTGGAGGAGGCGGTGTGCTCACATCTGCGTGGTAATCTCATAGTTAATATCAGAGCCAGAAAATGAATGTTGATATTTATCTTGGGGAGGGCTGTATCAGCTTGATCAAGCTTGACATTTGTTTCTTTACTCTATTTGCTATATCTAACAAAGTCTCCTCTGTTAATCTGTCATTTCCCCCAACTCTGCACCTACATACAGTATGTCAAACTGAAACTGTCATGTCCTTGTTTATTACATCCTTTTCTCTCCCCATCACCACATCATCATTTTGCTGTTACACTGTCACTTCAACCGGCTTTATGTCCCTGACTCTTCCCTCCTCGTCTCACAGACGTCTTCCCTCCTCCAGAGATGGTGGAGGAGCGTGGACTGGCACGACCTGTGGTGGCTGGCATTGTGGCTACCATCTGTTTCCTGGCAGCAGCTGTCCTGTTCAGCACGATGGCTGCCTGCTTCGTCAACAAGCAGCGCCGACGGAAGCTTAAGAGGAAAAGAGGTGAGGGGAAAATCCCGACCAGTATATCTCCACAATCGCTAAGCCAATTAAGATTCTTTCATGTTGTACGGTAGTATTTGGCACTTCATGGTGTCTTAACATTAGCTGTCTGTTTTTATCACTGTATTCATTTTTTGTACAATTATGGAAAAACCTTACATTACCTAACATGTACTTTACTGATTTGTGTACTTGTACTACATATGCTTTATAGGACTCATATCCTCTCAGCTTTCACTGCATATTCATCAATTTAATTGTTTGACTAAAAATATAAGCTGTATAAGTGTCTTGATAAGCCATGGCTATAGTTAGACAGTAGTAGTAATTGTACATTCAGTATATTTTGTTGTTTGCATTTTATTGTTATCCTGTCACACCATTTCAAATCTTGCCTTTCCACTGATGTCATCTTTGGGGAATCAAGTTTTTGTAAACCTTTTATATAAAACAAGAAATTTCCCCACTGTAAATATGATGCATTTACACTGACTCTAACTTTGGTTTTTGCTCTTTGCCTGTATGCCAGGAAAGAGGATCTAGTGCTCATCATGAACTCCTTTATTTAAATAGTTCTGAAATGACAGGCAACTTTGCAGTAATTATTATACAATTATACTTGAAATATATGTATCTTAATCTTAAATGGCAGTAATTGTATTTTCCGTGTTTCTCTTGTCTTCAAGACCCCCCTCTTTCGATAACCCACTGCAGGAAAAGCATGGAAACTCCGTAAGTGGCCCCTACATGGCACACAACACTGTTTCACTGTTTCACTGCTACACTGCACAGTACTCTACAACAAACCCATAATCCAACAGCACACAAGTTAGGATACATTGTGCTTAGTGGTCAGCTTGCCAGACCATCCAACACAGACATAGTATTCTGTCATCCAAACAGAATTCTATTCAGCTATCAAAGCAGATACTTTATTTATGCAAAGTTAGATTTAAACAGTACATTTGTAAGCGCCCCTTAAGAAATATATATATATACATATATAACTCAGCATCAAAAATGTCTCTTTTTCAGGACACTGTATTTTAAAGATAATTGTGTAAAAAAACAAACAAATAACTTTACAGAACTTTATTGTAAAGGGTGTAAACAATGTTTTTCATGCTTGTTCAATGAACCATAAGCAATCAATGAACATTACCTGTGGAATAGTCATTGAGCCAGTAACAGTGTACAGACAGTATCCAATTAAGGTCACAGTTATAAAAACTATATAAAAAACTAAAAACACTAAAGAGAACTCTCTACTGACTCTGAAAAACACCAAAAGAAAGATGCCCAGGGTCCCTGCTCATCTGCCTGAATGTGTCTTAGGCATGCTGCAATGTTGCCAGGGCAATAAACTTCAATGTCTATACTGTGAGATGCCTAAGACAGCACTACAGGGAGACAGGAAGGAGAGCTTATCATCCTTGCTGTGGTAGACCACATGTGACAACACCTGCACTGGACCACAGGGCCTCACCACCACATGAATCCACCCCCTTTTTTTTAATTAGGTGACGCAACAAGTAACAGGTGAAATACTTAATAAATACACAAACGAAAAACAGTTTGACATAATGGCATATTAAAGATGTTCAATGGCTGTGTGTGTGTGTGTGTGTGTGTGTGTTCAGGAGGTAGAAAATCAGGGGTGGTGTGGGGGAAACTGAATCAGGAAACGGGGAGAGTAAATGCTTTGAATTGAGCAAAAAAAAAGAATAAATAAAAGGGGAGATTATAGAGAAGAAGAAAAAGAAAAAGAACAGAAAGAAAAAAAAAATGAAGCAGAGCTAAATACAAAAATATTATTAATAATAATTATAATAATAATAAAATTAAATTAAATAAAACATCTCTTCCTGCCTGATTGTTACTTTTGAGTTTGAACCCCTTTGTTCAGGGGCACATTTTTCCATTTCTGTTACTCACATGTCTGTGAAACTTTGTTCAGTTTATGTTTTAGTTGTTGAATCTTTTTGTGTTCATACAAATATGAACACGTTAAGTTTGCTGAAAATAAAAGCAGTTGTAAGTGAGAGGATGTTTCTTTTTTTGCTGAGTATACATATATACAGGTGCTGGTCATATAATTAGAATATGATCAAGAAGTTGATTTATTTCAGTAATTCCATTCAAAAAGTGAAACTTATAATTTACTTATAAGTAAATTATTATTTATATAATATATATATTATAAACTTATAATATTAACGTATAATGTATACATTCATTCCACACAGACTGATATATTTCAAGTCCTTTTAATTTTGATGATTATAACTGACAACTAATGAAAACCCCAAAATCAGTATCTCAGAAAATTAGAATATTGTGAAAAGGTTCAATACTGAAGACACCTGGTGCCACACTCTAATCAGCTGATTAACTCAAAACACCTGCAAAGGCCTTTAAATGGTCTCTCACTCTAGTTTTGTAGGCTACACAATCATGGGGAAGACTGCTGACTTGACAGCTGTCCAAAAGACGACCATTGACACCTTGCACAAGGAGGGCAAGACACAAAAGGTCATTGCTAAAGAGGCTGGCTGTTCACAGAGCTCTGTGTCCAAGCACATTAATAGAGAGGCGAAGGGAAGGAAAAGATGTGGTAGAAAGAAGTGTACAAGCAATAGGGATAACCGCACCCTGGAGAGGATTGTGAAACAAAACCCATTCAAAAATGTGGGGGAGATTCACAAAGAGTGGACTGCAGCTGGAGTCAGTGCTTCAAGAACCACCACGCACAGACGTATGCAAGACATGGGTTTCAGCTGTCGCATTCCTTGTGTCAAGCCACTCTTGAACAAGACACAGCGTCAGAAGCGTCTCGCCTGGGCTAAAGACAAAAAGGACTGGACTGCTGCTGAGTGGCCCAAAGTTATGTTCTCTGATCAAAGTAAATTTTGCATTTCCTTTGGAAATCAAGGTCCCAGAGTCTGGAGGAAGGGAGGAGAGGCACAGAATCCACGTTGCTTGAGGTCCAATGTAAAGTTTCCACAGTCAGTGATGGTTTGGGGTGCCATGTCATCTGCTGGTGTTGGTCCACTGTGTTTTCTGAGGTCCAAGGTCAACGCAGCCGTCTACCAGGAAGTTTTAGAGCACTTCATGCTTCCTGCTGCTGACCAACGTTATGGAGATGCAGATTTCGTTTTCCAACAGGACTTGGCACCTGCACACAGTGCCAAAGCTACCAGTACCTGGTTTAAGGACCATGGTATCCCTGTTCTTAATTGGCCAGCAAACTGGCCTGACCTTAACCCTATAGAAAATCTATGGGGTATTGTGAAGAGGAAGATGCGATACGCCAGACCCAACAATGCAGAAGAGCTGAAGGCCACTATCAGAGCAACCTGGGCTCTCATAACACCTGAGCAGTGCCACAGACTGATGGACTCCATGCCATGCCGCACTGCTGCAGTAATTCAGGCAAAAGGAGCCCCAACTAAGTACTGAGTGCTGTACATGCTCATATTTTTCATGTTCATACTTTTCAGTTGGCAACATTTCTAAAAATCCTTTTTTTGTATTGGTCTTAAGTAATATTCTAATTTTCCGAGATACTGAATTTGGGATTTTCATTAGTTGTCAGTTTTAATCATCACAATTAAATGAAACAAACATTTGAAATATATCAGTCTGTGTGGAATGAATGAATATAATATCCAAGTTTTAATTTTTGAATGGAATTACTGAAATAAATCAACTTTTTGATTATATTCTAATTATATGACCAGCACCCATACGTGTGTATATATATATATATTTTATGTGTGTGTATATCCTGTTGATACCTAAATGACAACTTCATTACTTGTGAATGAGCATTCATCACATTTGGGATGTGGTAGGGGCAGGTTTGGTTATTTTCAAACATATTTTGAAATATTAAAGATATTAATATTACAAAAAAAAATTCAATACCGGTCACCACCCCGGAATCAGGGACTGATATCCAAAAGTGAAAAAAAAAAAAGTGGTTTGCCCACCTAGAAATGCCAATATTTAAATACTATTTTACATTAATCAGTTGGACAGTGAAGGGTGAATCTGAGCGCTGACCATCACAACCAGCTGTTGTTACAACTTTGGCTGTCACCGACTAAGGATTTACATAGTGGAATCAGAATCTTCAAGTCCTGCCTATTGTCGATTGATAGTCGAATCGTGTGTTTTTGTGCACGGCGATTGCGGTGTGGGGTTGTGGCTCTGCTTAAATCTTGAGAAGCTGCAGAGCTGCAGTCCCTAGTCATTCAACTTACACTGTAAATTTCCAGCTACACTGAGGCTTTTTAAAGACCCCTTTTTCTCTCTCTCTCTCTCTCTCTCTCTCTCTCTCTCTCTCGCCTGTCATTCACCGGTCTTGTGCAGAGTTTTTGGTTCCTCATGGATCTATTTGAAGTAGCCGGCTATTTAAAAACGATAAAATATTCTTTGTGTGGTTCATCAACATTGATAAATTATCCGAAAGTCCCGCGAGGTGTGAACTACTCAGCACAACACCAGTGAAGCTGGAGCTTGGTCTCTTCAGCAAGTGTTCCTCTTCTGTCACTACACACATACACACTACGCCTACACGTGCGCACTGACGACCCAGGGTTAGGGTTACAGTTCTGGATTTATTCACGCACTTTTAAAAACATTTATTGAAAGTTTTATTCTTTTTACATGTTTATTTACAGCATTAAACGTTATGAAATGTATAATGTAATAGGCTGTATATTAACTTAGTGGGAGAAAACTGGTAGTTCTATGTAAAATCAGATGTTGAACACCCCCATATCGCCAATGCTTGTTTCACTGTGAAGCTTCAAGATTGACAGTTGAATCAGGCTCTGCCGTCGAAGCATTGAATCTTCGATTATTGGGGGTCAGCCCTACTATCTATCTATCTATCTATCTATCTATCTATCTATCTGCAAAGGTAATAGTGGGCTGAAAGATACACGAACAGCACTGGTTTTCCTCCAACTTGTCTAATTTTTCTAAAAACATAAAAACTGAAATCAGAAAGTATTGATTGCATGACAACACGCATAGGCTAATGTTCCACAACTCCGAGGCAACAAGATGCTACAGAGCCACAGCTGTGCAGCTCTCATCAGCAAATGATGTTGCCTTTGATGGTACATGACGGGAAGGATGTCTCATTTCACAAAATGCATGTTTCCATGATTTCTCCTTCCATTCCCCTCTTCTCTTCTTATTGGAAGGAACTAAGATGTGAGGGGAAACACCAGGCCAGTGAGATGCATCTAGAGGAATTTGAGTTGCATCAGTTGACTAGTGCTCTGGGTCTGGGAATGTGGAATTTTGGCCATTTACCTTTAGAGTCAGTTAATGAAGAACTGTCTCAAAGTGCAGTGGTCACATCTTTACTCATTTTTTTTACTAATACTTTTTTCACGTCTCTTGCCTTTATCTTCCCGATGTTGCTTCAAGCTTTGTCTCTGACATTTCTTTCTCACAAATCTTCTCTGTGCCTTAATGTTTTTTCCCATTTCTGTCTTTTCCCTCTTAATCATAATATTAAGCAATTGTCTCAGATTTTCTGTTGCTTTTTCAAACATAACTCTTATTTCACAGGCTTCCTGCTTACCTCCATATTCTCCCCACTTCTTACTTTCTGATCTCCCCACTTCTACAGGAGCCCACTTAGCCTCATTCCCAGCGTCGAGCCCTACTGGGAGGGGCCGGACGCAAGCAGGTACAGGCCCCAACCTTCCAGT